ATAGCAAAAACTCAAATGCAAGAACAGAACAGGTTTTAATTGATAGCAAAAAGAAAGAAAAGATGCCAGTAAGTAAAGAAGTCTGAGATCTTACGCAAGAATTAAACAAAGGTTGAGTGAAAATGCAAAGTCTAAGCACAAGAAAACTGCAAAAAAAGTACATGTGGTATAGCATGTTATATTGTTGGGTGGGAGTTACATAAGCTTTTCATTTTTATTTTTCCAGATGGTGATGGCAGAGGAATAAAGTTTGGTGAATAAAAATATCTGACACACATGTAAAAACACTTTGGAAAAGAATCATGTAATAAAATCATCCTTACAGATAGACAAAGCAAGAAAAATGTATGCTTCTCCTGGTTTTATCTTAACACAAAGGCCCCTTAATGTGTCCCTACATTGCTCATTCCAATCATCTCATTTTTTTCTCTTCTTCAAAAATCAAGCTAATAATTGTCAACAAAAGCCATCAAACCATAGCTTCATAATCAGATTAGCACTAATGTTGTGATTTTGAATTGGAAACTTGAAAAAGAGAATCTTTTAAAACTCTAAAAGGTGAAAAGGGTACACAGAAACAGAAAAAGAGTTTGTGTTGTTTCATTTTCCAGATTGGGTAAAACACTGTTTCAACGACATAAATACTCTTTCATCAAAGCTGTTATAAATTGATTGGTGATGTAGAAGAAATAAGTGAAATTGAAACCACAGATATGATTAGAGATATAAAAAGTGGACCATGTAAATTTAATCATTCCATTTCACTATCAACATTAACACCTTTTACTTTCAACACCTCAAAGGCTTTTGTTCTTTGAGGCATTATTGCAAACAACTTGAGAACTACATCATTCAATTGTTGAAAAACCAAACCACACATCACTTCAGTTCTAAAGTCTAAACCTTTTTTTTATTATCCCAATCAAACAGTGAAACTTCCAAATGCATACATCCAAATTCAAAACGCATTCTTTTTACGAAACGAAATGTAAAAAAAAAGTCAGAAACTTTCAGTAGAGAACATCATGACAGATACAAATCAATCGGCCGAGTCAGATTTTAGTCAACCTTGTGCTTATATAGTTAAAAATGAAATTCATATAGAAGAAAGTGATTAGAAATCAAAGTACCTCTGTAAGTAAATTAAAGTGATGAAATGAGAGAGGAAGGATTGGTGAGGAAGAAAGGTATTGTTTAGATGAAAAGGTCATCATGATGATGCGACAACTAATGCAAATTACAAAAGCTTCTCTCTATCTCTCTTTATCTCTCTCGGGATCTTACTTCGATAAGAAATCAAGCTTGATGAAATCTGAAAAGCTGGGAACTTTGTTTGATAAAATAATACTATCGTCCTGAATTTTAAAGTAACCCATTTTATAGTCAATTAATTATCTTTTATATACATCGCCGGATGCATACACACTTCAGGCCCATCATCAAGCCCAATTGACTTGCTTTTTACAATTTTGTTTTAGTCAGAGAACTTCTTTGACTCGTTTGTTCAGTTTAGTTCCAATGATGCTGTGTGTTTCACAGGACAGGACAGGACATATAGCTATTTGGTGAAGGAATATGAAGATTGTCAATCTCGAGGGTTGAGAAATTGTTACAAATACCAAGAGAGCGCTTCATGAATACTTGCGCGTTTCAGGATATTATCGAGAAGATATTTTTCTCTGTATATAACATAGTACAGTTAATTCAATCAATTTATTTCCTCTTCAAGCCATGTAGAGTGAAATTGCCTATAAAGCGTTGAACATCTCTAGTTTTGTTCAATCAGTTCATTTCCTTTTCAAGCTATGTAGAATGAAATTGGTGAGAGTCTATATATACATAAGTTATGTTCAATTAAGTCGTCTCTTCGTCTTCGGTCCATGAGCTACTAAATGTTTCTAAATCCAGTTGGTTCATAGTCATTATAATTTGCTTTATCATCAATCTTTCGGGAAAACGTCCAGTTCCCTATAGTTTATAATAGAGGAATTGGCCGTTTTCCCTCAACCTTTCCCCCAAAGTTTATCGCTACAAATCGATTGAATCAAAAGCACTACGACAATTTTTACCGGTTATAGACAGCGGGTGGGATACTAGTTTACTAGTCGGACATGCGAAAATCAGGAAAATTTGATCTTACCAAAAAAAGCACCAAATCAAAATCTATTATTACAAACAATTCATGTGCTAGGGGACTTATGTTTACACTGTTACGTGCGGTTTTACAGTGCACCCTTCCGCACCTGATCTTTGACTGGATTTTTGACAAACCGAGTCGGTTTGAGATTTTTTTTTTTTCCTACAGATCTAACGGCTTATATTTGTTTCAATTTGACGCGGCATGATCTCAACCGTTTCTTATAAAGTTCCATCGTTGTTAACAAAAACTCGGGTAAGTTCGTCAGATTTCGATTTGGGGAACCCTAAAACAAAACATTCCAAAAGACATTTCTGTGATACTCTCCCATCTTTTGAATTCCTTCTCATTTCCTGTGATGGGTGGTTTAGCTATGGAGGAATTGCCTTTATCGGCGCTATTCGAGCAAGCTAGGAAAATTCATCTCGCTGCTTCAGAGTCTGGTGTTGATCAGGTCGAATCTTCTAACTTCTTTTATTTTTCTGTATTCGAATTCGATTAGGGTGTTTATCTGAAATGGGTATTTCGAATCGCAAGTTTTTACTGAATTGGACGTTTTCATTTTTTAGGATGTTGTGAAGAAAGGATGTGAGATGTTTCAGAAGTGCGAAGACATGATCGGGAAACTGGGACTGTTCTCCTCTAATGAGACTAAAGAAGATATTAGCACGAACAATCTCAAGTACCTTTTGGTATATTTCTATGCTATCGAGTCTCTGTTGTTTGGGGGGTTTTAGGTGTAGAAAGAGTAGAAATTGAACAACTTCGGTTGGTCCTGTTACTTCCCAATGTGGATTCTGAGATTTCGGATTGTGCCCTTTTTTTTTATTGGACTTACTAGTTACTCTGCGTGAAGATCATAAGATTGTTAGTTTTCGGTTGACGAGGGGTATATTTCTTGTTGATCATAGGTGCCTTACTATCTTGCGGAGCTAACGGCGAAAGTCATACAGGAAGATCACATTCAAATTCTTAAGGCCGCTTATGCAAAGTTGAAGGTGATTTTTCTGCTGAGTGTCGCACCCCTTTGATGCCAGTGTTAGTGGGAATGAGTGTTTGGTTGGAGTTTTTTTTTTCTTGGGATTGATGTATAATCTTATTGTGTCTAGGAGTTCTTTACGTTTTGTGAGGCAATGGAGCTTGTTCCAGATGAGGAGTTGGAGGCTGCTTCACGAGGAGGTTCTGGTGCAGCTGCAGATCTAAGGGGTTTGAAGGTAGATTAAGCCCTGTTTCTTTTTTTTTTTTGTTTTGTTTATATAACCATGAGAATGAAGTTTAAATGTTTTCGGATTTTGAAATGCATGCTGTGTCTTCATAACTATGATACTTTGTAGATAGCTCGATTCAAACGTCGAAAGGCTGCAGAGGCAAAGCTTCTTGAAATTAAAGAGAGGAAGGAGCGACGCGGACGTTCAACTAAAGCAGGTGCCTTGTCAACTCCGGTGGAAGCTGGAGAAGAAGATATTCCAGATGATGACTGCGAAGAAGAGAGAGAGGTTTGTCCCACTTTCTGTTTTGCTGCTTTCTTCTAATTTGATTTTCGTCTAAGTCTTGTCTTATGGCTATTCTCTGCAGGCATGGCTCTCCTCAATTAACTTGGCTATTTGTAAGGTTTGTCTAAAAGTCATTTATTGGAATCCTATGATGTGACACGAGTTGAGGCTTTATCTTATGATTGACCTTCGCTACAGGCCATTGATCTGATGGAAATACTAAAGATAGAAGAGAAAATGCTCTCTGAAGTGAAGGAAAGACAGTTGAAGGTAGTTTTACCGTAATGTTAGTCTTTTTTAGGTGCTAACAAAAGTATTTGATAAACATATAAACAGAGAAAATTGTTGTGATCTTTTGATCAGGATGGAGAGGATGGGTTTTCTCGCGTTGCTCTTGATGATCGTACAAAGCAAGCTGAAAACAGGCACAGAGACACTGCTGCAAGGGTACAGTACTCTAATCCGACACAACCAATCACTTGTGCCACATTTGCACAAGATGTGTTAGAAGGAAGAGCTTCAGTATCACAAGGTCACGAACACAAGCACCAACCTCTTATATTCGGTCCAGCAAGCATTGTGGGTGGACCGCTTTCTACCCAGAGAGAGAGGATGATAGCTCAGGTTTTCCAACCAAGTCACAGGTAAACACAAAGCTATGCTCATCAGTCATCAGAAAAACTTGTTCCATTTTGAGATTTAAAAAATGGTGATTGACCTTTGACTTTGTAGGATGCCAACAATGTGCATAGAGGATGCTGGGTTAACAGAGATGAACATAATGAACGAATGGCAAGAGCAGACGAAAAAAGCCATTGAAGAAGCAACCACCTCATGGCACAACGATAAACCTCTGAGAAGAAAGGAAGAAGACGAAGAAGAGGATGATGAAGACGAAGAAGCCGTGATGAAAGCTAGAGCTTTCGATGATTGGAAGGACGATAATCCTCGTGGTGCAGGTAACAAGAAACTCACACCTTGTGGCTGAGAGATTGAGACTCGAGACTGAGACCACACATTTAACACTTTCTCCCTCTTTTGTTTCTTATTTCCAAAAACCTTTCTTTCACTTTTAGTGTCTGTAATGTAATCCATCTTCGTACAACTCTTTAAGCCTTAAAGACTGTTACAGATTTTACAACATAAGATTTAACTACTAGTACTGGATTCACTTTCATTTTCGTATATTATTTTTATATACGCCGACTAAAGATGCGGTGTATATATCTAGTAAAATATTGACGTGTGAATGGATCTGAGACCATCTTTTTTTTTTTGTCCTCCATTATTGTGTGACCCACGTTCAATCACAAGCACCATATATGGAATCAAACAGCAAAAGAGAAACTATAAAAATAAAGAGATGGTCATAGTACAACACATGTTTTGCTTGTGAATGATTAAAATTTCCAAAAGTACAATGAACATATCACTAACAATGTAAACCAGGATTCAACCTATACCCTAGTTTTCCTCCTGGAAACAACACTTTTTGTGACTGACTTTAAGAAGATGTAAGAACAAGAAAAGTGAGAAGAAAAAAGGGATCAGATTCTTCGATCCAAAAAAACGAATACCCACAAGAAAAAAGACGTCAATGATGATCAAATTTTGATGCAGACTGAAAACAAATATGAATTTGGAGATGTACACAAGATGATGATTAAACTTTACTTTTACCCTTCAATGCATTGAAACCCTTCACAAATCCAAAGCCAGATGCCAAACAAAACAGCACAGATGCAGAAATCGAACATTAGCACAACCCAAACATGTTTCTTCCATATCTGTTTAGCCTTTTGTCTATGATGATGATCACTCAACAACCCATTTCTCAGTTCCTTGCGTAAGACTCCATTGTTACCATTCCCACATAAATCAACCTTCTTCTCTGATATCTCGTTGATTGAACCAACCTCGCAAGAATCTTCCCCTTTCGCTTCGTTATTATGCGATCTCTTCTTCTTCTTCAACGCCTTCAACGGCTTCCCCAAAAGTGGCATCAAAGCAGCTCTTCTTCCTTTAGACGAATCAATGCTCGGGTTCCGACTCTCCCTCGCTACGCTCCTCGGTGATCCAACCAAATCCATATCCAATTCCAAATCAACATCAACAACACCAACAATCTCCGCGAAAACTGGGTCAAGCTTCGATTGAAGACAATGCGAAACCGGGTTAACCAACGTCTCCGCATCAGATCCACCTCCTCTGATCAGATCCTCCATAACCGATCTCAACCGGTTCAAAACCCAGAACGATTCAGATTTCTCCATACCTTCATCCAAAATCGCGAAATAAACAAACGAATCGTCGCCGATCGCGAACGTGTACGTCTTCTTGTGAACAGTGTGAGAGAACATCGAATGATGAGGAGGCGCGTTCTCGATACATCGTAAAGCTACAGCTTCGATTCCTGGATCTTCCTTTGAAACGAACTCCGCGAGAACTACGTTTCCTTTCGCAATGCAAGTGTATGACAATAAACTCGGATTCGATATCATCCTTTCTCCTTCTTCTTTGTATATATATACCGATTTCAATGGAGAATCGAAGAAAATCTTCAAAGAGGAAAAAAAAAACAGAGATCGTGTAAGGTTTATTATTATTTCATATTAGGGAATCAGAGAGGAGGATCAGAGGCTTCTTTCTCTGATAACTCTTTCTCTCTCGCCCAATCTGATCTGTTTCAATGGAGATTTCTCTCTCTCTGAAGCTCTCTAGGGTTTGCGGAATTTTCTAGGGAAAATAACAGAAATGGTGATCCATAATTGGAGAAGACGAAACTAAAAAAGATAGAGATTGATAGATACAGCCCAATAGGATTATACTATTTGACTGACTTAAACTTTTTCTGGAAACCACCATTGTATTACTTTTTATTTACAATAATACCCACTTCGTATCCGTGATTCGAGTAATTCACACGTGCTAGAGTAACGCCACGTAGCAAAATACTGCCACGTCGGACTACAGTCATTTAATTTTAACTGTATTTCAAGTTTCAACCAAATTTATGTATAGTTTTTGAATTTAATTATTTCAACTTAACACCTAAAGTGTATTTTAATTTATGTATATCACAGAATTACGTGTTATTCATTATTTTTTGACAAAGAAATTATACTAAGCATTTTTAAAATTTGGGGAGTGTTAAGTAATAAAACAAAGTATACGACGTATTTTTGATACTTGTAAAACTTAAGGGACCTAATTGGTGATATATTTTTTGGATGACGTTTAAATAAAAACATGGCGTTTGTTGTTCAAAGTGTTTCGGACCCGATCAAGGATGGATCAACCCGACCCGAAAAATGGCTCTGGATTGGTTATCTCCGCCACTGAACCGATGCGGTCGTTTCTCTCACTCGCCTCCGGTGATCTTCGTCTCTCCGAGGAACTCAGAGGAATTGCTTCCGATCTTCGCTCGAAGAACACCGTTCCGTACAAATTGCTCCGTGCTATATGGACCGGATCCGATCCGTCGACCAGACCGGATTTGTTGGGGCTTTTCTCCGGCTCCGATTTCGTATTCACCAGTCCCAAACCCAGAGAGAAGGTAAGCTTACTTCGAATCTTACACTATCTTTCTGGGACTTTCGAATTCGTATCAGGAGAAATGTGATCTATTTAGATTCTGTTTCTACGCTTTAGTCTTCTGTAAGAGGTTCCATTGAAGGAGATTATATAAATGATAGTGATTGTGCTCTAAAACAATTCAGCAACAAAAGAGATTGTCTTTATGGTAATATAAAATGAGTTAATTTGTGTTTTGTAGTTTTGTTTGATTCATATTGAAAATACAAATATGCAAAACTCTATTTGGTTCATTGGAATAACTGAGCTTGATCGAAGAAACATCGCTGCTCCTCGGTTGAATGTAATTCACGAATGCTTCTGGTTCGTTGGTTGAAGTCTTTCCTTAACTGTGCCATGTTTAATTTGATCTTATTTTTCTCTTGGTAGAGTGAAGAACTGAAACTGAGATTAGTAAAGCTCAGAGAAATAGCAGAGAGGAAGGAGTATGCTGAGCTTGTTAAAGATATAACACCCAGGAAACAAGTCGAAGAGCCTTTCTCCTCTTACAAAGACCAGCTCGGTTTCGGTTAGTATTTTGCTCGGTTACTCTTTTCTTGGAAAAGTGTTACACATTGGTTACTGAAGATTTTGATTTCCTTGCAACGTCATTCTATAGGTTTACATGTTGGTCTTACCATGTTCACTGGATATTTGGTTGGATACGCTTCTTTCAGAGCTTTATTCAACCGCAACCCCGCTTTGGTATGTTTTGTGCATCTCTGATCTTGTCAAATTTTCAGAAAACTTGCTGCGGTTGAGTGGATTTCTAAATCATTCGTGTTTCGTATTTGTTCTGTTTTCTCCTTTCAGAGTGCTGCTGGTGGAATTCTTGGACTAGTTTTGGCGATGCTTGTGGAAACACTTCTGTTTATAATCAAAACGTCTAGAGATGATAAGATTCAGAGCTCTAAATCGTTCACTCAGAGCTCTGCGTCATTCACTCCCACTACTACTAAGAAGAATCAATAGAACTTGGTTTGCATTCTCTTCCTACTGAGAAAAGAGAGAGATTTGTAGAGAGATTAGCTTTGAGACATACGTGATATAATCATACCTGCTTAATGTTGAAGAATCTTTTGTACTCATATGACAAGTAACACAGAATTGAAGTTTTGTTTGAATAAATTTGGAGTTATGTGTCATCATCTTTCTTTTCCCTTACATGAACCGAAAGGCCGAAACAACTAGACTAGTCCGGACGTTCTGTATCCACTAAAAGTATCGTTTGTGTCGATATATCTCCTTTTAAGGCCTCTTTATTCGTCTCAATTTATCGGAAGTCACTTCATTTGAACCTTGTTCTCCATACATGGAGTTGAGATAATCATCAAATCAATGTAGTTATTGAATTTTGATATACTAAGATTTTACGATGTTAGACAGCTTAAGATAAGACAATAAACCCATTTTCATTATATCTTTGTGATTATACTACATTACAACTCATATATCTGTGAAAAAGACGCATTGAATAAAAATTGCTAAATTACTTTATTCAAAAGATAGGAGCTAATGACTAATTTAAAAGTGTTGATCAAACACAATCATTCTTGATTTCAATTCTTTGCAGGGGAGTTGGGAACAAGGCGTGCACAGTTATCCTTAAGGAGAGGAGGGAAGAACGGATTCAACGGAAACATATGAGGCCAACAGTTAGCATCTAAGGTTGAAAACGCCTTGCAACATGCGGATTGGACATTTTCGAATTTTCCGGAGAAGATTGATTTGGAGATTTCGAGCACACATCCTTCAACACTGAAGAGAGACGACCAACATTTTACGAGATCAATAGGTGGGAAGAGTCCTGGAACCGTTGGTTGCGTTTCCATATGAGCTACTCCTTGAGTGACGAAAATGGCAGCAGAAAGGGAAACAATCAAGAAGATTGAGAGGACTGTTTTGTTTGCCATTTTTCTTGTTAACTCTTCTTTTTAAATGCTTATTCTTTCTTTTCTTTTGTTTGTTTTAGTTGTTTGGATGATTTTGGTTTTGTAAGAAGAAAGGTAGAATTTATAGGATCAGGAAACAAGGTTTTCTCTGATAATTCGAAAAGTAACTTAAGTGTAACAGATCAATTTTAATTTCTGACTCAAAACGTAACTCATTTAGATTTCTAATATATTGAATCTTCTTAGCTGAGTTTGACTAATGTAAATGTGGTGTGTTCTTAACATCAATGTGGTTTCTTAACATCTTTTGACCCACTTACTTTGTTCTTAACATCAATGTGGTTCTTTCTCTATTACAAACTTGAAATATCTTATTCCAGTTTATTGATTTTGGTTTCTCAACGGCGTTTATCTTATTCCACTTTATTACAAACTTGAAATATCTTAACATCAATGGCGTTTGCATAGTTATAGAGATGTCTGATCATGTCTGAGGAAAGATAGTTCACTTTGGCGTTTTCAAATTCACCTTCTATCACATTCCATTCAAGTTCAACAAAAAAGCTCTTTGTTTTTGTCGTCCATGGTTAAGTTGTTAACTATATTATAAAACACGGAATTGTCAACTTCAATCTTTCTTACTCTCTCTTGAATCAGCAATTAAAGAAACACACAATGATGTTTCATAAACTCTTTTTTATGCTCTGTTAGTATTAGCTCTCACCACTTCCGCCATCAAGTTCAGCCTCTGAAGCTTGAATTTGACATTCCATCAAAAGGAAACAGTGATCTTTTAAGGAGGTGAAGCTGAGAAATGGAGAGAAGTTACAAGACGTGGTTTCATCTTACAAACTCTGTCTCTCTTTGATGCCAATCTATACAATGTTAATAACAGATACACTTTATGGGTCATAAAAATGTTAATAACATATAGATACACTTTATGGGTCATATACTTCATTGGATCTCTGCACAGTTATTTGCACCAACTGGTTCTCGTAAGCAACTTGATATCGCCATCACTGCAGCTTCAATGGATGCATCTTCTCCCTGGTTTCAAGACATAATGTAAACAGTTTAGACATAAGAAAAAACAAAGAAAGTAACACAGTCATCGATTTGGATCGAGATAGATAGCCTTCTTGCCTTTTCTTTCCAGTAAAACATGTTGCCGTATTTCCCAGCCAATCGACTCCAGAAACTACGAGGTATGTCTAAATCAACTGAGGCCCCAACATTGAAATTCAATATGTTCCCTGTTCCAAATCCGGTTATCACGATCATTTTCCCATTTGAATACACTTCAAGAACTTAACAATGAGCTCTGAGATATTACCAAAAGTCGGGTCAGCTACAAACACAATTGTGCTATCATCCACCTGCCAAAAATCTTTGATTGCTAGTCCTGTTTCAAGCACAAGAGAAAAAATCATGTCATCAAGTAAAATCTACATAGAGATCAAGTATGTTGGTTTGAAAGCATATATCATACCAGGTGTAACAGGATAGTTCTGAGCCAAGACTCTCAACTTAAATCCTGTATCTTTCTCAAGATCAGCGATTTCTTTAGCAATCCTTTTTTCCTGTGAATTCTCAAAGAGCAGCAACATTAAGAATAACCAAAGCAGTGATCACATTCTCATCAGATACATACTAAAAATATCCACAGATAAGCCAGCAGATCCACATGACATAAACAAAGAAAGTGCTTAAATCAAATCCCAAAAATGGATGCTGATAGAGGCATACCTGTCCATTAGAGAGGAAATCAGCAACATCTATGACAGAAGTGAACTCTTTAGGAAGCAATTCTGGTTTGTTAACCCCTGCTTTTGCCTCTGCGTATCCAACACCTGCAAAAGGGATTTTCAAAGTTATTGACAATTGGAATCTGGATAGCTTCGTCTGCATTGTTCATCAATCATCATACTTCATAGTTCCACACGCTTGGAACACGATACTAGGTGCAAAATTAAAGTCACAAGCTTGAGGTTGATGCGGTTAAAAAAGTTTCCAACTTTGTGATTTCAAGATTGTTTCAGCAACATGTCAACATTGTTACTGTAAAAATGTCGGAGTTGAATCAAAATCAAAGGACAGTGTTTGTTCAATCTCGAGTCAAAAAGCAAGGATCTTGGTGAGAAGGAAAAACGAAACGTACCTGAAAGAGATAAACCGAGGGCGAGAGCTCCAGAGAACATCAAACTCAGAGATTTCGACCGGAAATGTGAAACCCAGTTTTCGACGCCGGAGGTTTTCAAGGAGAGCCGAGAAGACGGTGAAATTTCTCCGGAGATGTGGTTGAAGGTAAGAGGGGAGAAGCTTCTACATTGTGAAGGAGGAGGTCGAAAAAGCATCGCCATGACTCTGTAGCAAAAGCTTCCTTCTTCGTTTACTCTGCTTTGTTCTGGATAATGTTAAAACGCTCGCTACTATTTCGGTACAGACCGGAACATATTAAACCGGAAATAACCAAAATTTGGGATCCATAGGAGAGGGTTTATCTGGTTATTGAATTTTGAAATAAGACTTTCTGATGTAGACCATTTTCATTACTAGTCATATATTTGTGATCAAAGAAACATTGACAAGAGTGATAAATAAGTAAAAATTTACTTTATTGATATAAACCTATAGAGAGCTCACCTAAGATGAGCGTTCACATTTTGATTTTGCTAACAAAATTTACCATTAAAACTTTGGAGCTAACAACTAATTTAAAAGTTGTTGATCAAATGATCATTCTTGCTTTCAATTCTTTGCAGGAGATTTAGGGACACTGCGAGCGCATGTATCCTTGAGGAGAGGAGGGAAGAAGGGATTCAACGGAAACATATGAGGCCAACAGTTAGCATCCAAGGTCGAAAAGGCTTTGCAACATGCGGCTTTGACATGTTCTAATTTTCCGGAGAAAATTGATCTGGAGATTTCGAGCACACATCCTTCAACATTGAAGAGAGACGACCAACATTTTACAAGATTAATAGGTGAGCCGGGTAGGAAAAGTCCTGGAACTGTTGGTGGCGTTTGCATATGAGCTACTCCTTGAGTGACAAAAGTGGCAGCACAAAGGGAAACAATTAAGAAGATTGAGAGCAACAGGAACAGGAACAACCTCTGATGGCTGTATGGCTAGGCTGCTAGATGAGGCACCATGAGCTACAGGGGCATTCTGAGGGGAATTCTGAAGAGGAACAACATTGGCTACAACATCTCCTTCATCATCTTCGTGCATCTCAGGGGACAGATCTTCTTGAGTGTGAAACCTCATACTTTGAGAAATTTATTCCTCTGCAGCTTCAAAATCAATGAATCCCCTTTCCAGTCTGCAGCAGTTACCCAATATCCTCTCCTCACCAACTCAACAACATCGGCAAGCTCATCAGTATGATGATGGAGAGAGATTTTGACAAGAGTCTCAACAGAACTCTCTAAAATACATGATACCTCTGATGGAGAGAGATTTTGACAGGAGTCTCATCAGAACTCCTTAAAATCCATACAAATATCATGCATTTTAAGGAGTTCTGATGAGCCTTCTGTCAAAATCTCTCTCCATCATCATACTGATGAGCTTGCCGATGTTGTTGAGGAGAGGATATTGGGTAACTGCTGCAGACTGGGAAAGGGGATTCATTGATTTGGAAGCTGCAGAGGAATACATTTCTCAAAGTATGAGGTTTCACACTCAAGAAGATCTGTCTCATGAGATGTAAGAAGATGATGAAGGAGATGCTGTAGCCCATGTTGTTCGTTTTCAGAATTCCCCTCAGAATGCCCCTGTAGCTCATGGTGCCTCATCTAGCATGCGGTGTTTGTTTGCCATCTTTCTTGTTAATCCTTTTTTCTACCTTTTTCTGATCTTTGCTTCTTTGTTTTGTTTTGTTTTAGACTTGTATGCTTGGGATGGTTTTTGATATTGGAAGAAACTTGGAATTTATAGGATTAGGAAACAAGAGTAACATCGGTTTTAAATTTTGTTTCAACATGTAACTCTTGTGTTAAGAGTTTTGTGTATTCAATTTTATTACATTAACTTGAGTTGACTTTGTGTAAATGTAGTGTTTTCTTGTTTAAGTTTTGAAACAGAAACTACTGCAAATTTATTTGGCTAATCTCAGAAGATTCTTACAATTATTTCTGTTTCTATTTTGGCAAATTTACTCCATGTCAACTCCAGTTTCTATTTTGTTTGTTTTTTCAGATAATATAAGTGCTGATCGAAACTGTCGAATTTGGTACTACAAATCTGTGTATCTCGTAGGAACGTCAGATCGGATGAGGTAGCAACTTGGTATCTTAAGATAACTTAGTTAAGGTGCTCTATTCCAAATGCCCACAATTTCCACATTCACTTTTCAAAATTTGAAGGGATAAGTTTATGGTGCTAAAGAATCAATGATAAAAAAATGGTTTTCGGATCAAACAAGCAGATGCATCATATAACGGAAAACTACTGAAATAGCACAAGGCAAAGTTGAAGAACAAAGATGCTCAACAAATTCTTTAGTCTTCAAGGTCCTCCAAGTATAGCATTCTCGGTATCTTCTCTACTCAACGCATAGCTAAACCTTCTTTCCATGTCTCTCTCTAGATTTCCTGGTCCGCTTTTCAAGTACCTGCGTTACAAAGCCATCTAGTGGTTAGTCCAAAATTGGCAGATTACACAGCAGAAACTTCAAAGGGAACTGACCAGAGAACATGTCAATATATTGACTTGTTTGGTCTGTTGATTTGAGATGCAGAGACGTAAAATTAGCTTCTAATTCTTAACAGAAGATCCAGATTTGTGCTAAGGTTAAGTTTAGATAGCACCAACAACGTATGCAAACCGCATAACAATCGATTTCCGCACACTCAGATACTGAACTAGGATTCACTATCATCTTCAAGAGGTTAGTTCATCATACACTATGCCATACATATACTTATCCTCACTCTCACAACATTAAGCAGAATCAGTATCCTCATTGCTAGCTTTGGTTCTAGAACTACACATTCACAAACACTACAACTAGTTATGAAATCACTCATGGAGTAATAATCTAACAACTAGCATATCAGAACTGAGAACTCTAGACCTTTCCAGACTATTGAAGGATCGAACATAAACAAAATTCGAATACAACTTAGGAGCTCAGTGAGACTAAAAAATTGCAATACCTTATGCAGAGATCTGTGACGTCAAGAGATAACTGAGCATGCCAATCAGGTTTCTGAATCAACCAAACAGCTCTATCTTCTTTGCTTTGGTAAAACCCTAACTTCCTCAGCCACGCTTCGATGCAAGGTAAGCTATGCGAATACAGTGGCTTGTTCTTCTCCGGTAGCTTCTTCAGCCATTCGTCTTCCGTATCCGATACCTCCTCCGCGTCTGAAGATTTCGAATAAACTAGGGTCAAATTTCTCCTCTGAATTGAGGAAGAAGAAGAAGAAGGAGTGAAACTACGACATCTGGGAGATATTGAAGCTTTCGAGCTCGAAATGTGAAGAAATTTCGCAGGAGTTGATAATTGTGAACATGGAAATAGAGCACTCGAAGGAATCAATTTGAATGTTGATACATAGTTCATGATTACGAACAAAATTTTCCGAGAAAATTTCTGATTTTCCCGGGAAAAAATTCTGGCAAAATCGATCGACTAGAATCTGAAGCAGAGGAAGTTCTTCGTCATCTTGTTCTATCTTCAATTTCGCCATGTCATCAACTTGGGCCTTTCAATGTCAATCAGAAATGGGCTTATAGTCGAAGAAGACTAAGGCCCAATAACATTTTTTCTTTTTTGGGTAAAGGCCCAATGATATTTCTATATGATTATGTCGCGGTAATATATTATTTCCCGCCAATAGCATAACCTTGTCGTCGCTCACTCCCTCCCTCCTCTCTTCTTCAACCCCAAAAAACTAAAATCGAATCTTTCCGTCTCTGTTTACCATTTCAATGGCTGGAGATATGTTATACGCCAAAACGCAGCGTTTCGTGCTTTTGATTGATCTTAATCCGCTACTGGTCAAACCCGAGTCGGAGCATTACTTATCCGTCGTGATCTCCGCCGCCGAGAAGCTTCTCTCGTTTCCTCCTCTTTCTGCTTCTCTCTTCTCTTACAAATTCTTCTTTTCTTCTCTGTCTTCTCTCTTGTCTTTCTCAAAGCTCTCTGCACTTCCAATTTCATCTTCTTCGCTTTCGTTTGACCTTCCTAACCCTACACTTGTCTCTCTCAGACGCGCCGTCGATGCTGTTAAAAGATGCGAACTTCGAGCTATTTCCATGGCGGTGGCGGGGACATCGCCTCGTGGGGTTAATGTCGCGGCGAATTTGCGACAGATCGTTTATGATTATGCTTGGGAGCCGGTGGTTCGAGATCCGGAGATAGGTTTGATTCCTGGATTTACGGATGGTGGGTTCGATGTAGTTAGGTCGAATTTGGTGGTGATGTTCTCCCCGATTTCTAGGGATTTGGATTGGGTTTCTAAGTTTCTTGACGTTAAGACTGGTGATGAGTGTCTTAGTGACTTGGATTTGTTCAAGTCAAAGTTAGGGGATATTTTTGAATGTGTGAATGAGTTATATGATGATAGGGATATTCAATTAAGCTGGATTGATGTGAAGTCTGAAGATGGATTTGGTGAATTGGGATTGAAGTCTGGGTTTTTCGATAGTGGGATTAGAGAATTGGGCTGGGGATATTGTTCTACGGATTCAATTGTTTTAGGTTCTTCAATTGTTCCCTTCGGATTAATTTATCCTGCAATTGGTATCTGCCCGAAGCTATCTACTAGCCAGAAATTTACTGTTCAAGCCAGTCTTGAGATTGCAGATATTGATGGTAAACCTATGGAATGCAAATGCGGTGAGCTAGTGTTTTCTTCTTCTGAAATTTCTAATGGGAAGAGGTGTGATGAGTTTATCAGTTTAGTTAGTGGCCCTGAGCCAGTCAATCAGGACTCTCTAGTTGACTTTTTTCGTGGTGGGATTAGCAAACTCAGTATTAAAGCCTTCAGGATGTGTGATGATCTTATTATTGAACTTGAGAGGTATACTTATGAGACTTTTGTTGTTCATGAAGTATTCCTAGAATCTGACCAAGATCAGGAGCATGAGAGTGGGTTTTGGGCAGACCGGGTTTTTCAGATATTAGTAAAAGATACAGGTGAGAAAGTAGCGAAACGGTCATCACCCATATGGCAGATCTTATTAAGTTATCTCTATAGGGAAGGTTACTCAGCATTGATATCTCTTTCAAATAGCAATGGTAGTTTGCGGACTGGAATCCTCACGCCCTTCTCTTTTTCCTCGGCTCTAATCTGTGTTTTTGACAATGGAGTTTCTCCTCAAACTGTGGATCATGAAGATAGCAGAAAGAAAGTCAGTTGTAGTGAATATAAAAGAAAACCAAGAAAAAGTACTCTTATTGACATTAGCTGGGAGGAGTTCTGCAGATCAGTGAAAGACTATGGTCAAATAGATCTAGAAGATGTTTATTTCTCCAAGTTTAGCATGTCGAAGAAATTTAAGTTTTTGAAATGTTGGATGAAACAGATTAGTAAACCCAGAGGTTGCAGCTTTTCCAGCTTATCCGTGGCTAGTAATTGCAATGCATTGGAGGATGTGGACGCAAATCCAATTGAGGAAACAAACAACTCCTCTGAACAGGCAGAAAAGGTTAGCTCTTCTAAACCTGCAGCTGAAGAGGACATTGCTTTGAGTGGAAATCGTATATCCGAAAAGCAGGAAAATGATGCATCTGTTCATGCATCAGAGTCATCAGAAAATTTCTTTGCTAGTCTTCCAAGTAAAATCAAACAAGGAATTGAGTCTGAGGAAATAGACTTGTCAGCTCTGGCCGAGCGGCTTGTCAAGTCCTGCGTCTTCTACTGCTCTCAAAGAGCTGAGAAGGACTATAGCTGTGAAAGTGGAGCCCTCCTGTTGGTCACTGAGGAGCTAACCAAGATGTTACTGAAAGAACCGAAAGATATAGTTGCCAAGTTCAAAAAGAAAGATTCATCATCCACGGCAATTGGGCAGAAGTCTGATCAAGCTGCACCCAGTAGCATTGTTAGAGAGTATCCTTTTATTTCTGTTTGGTTACAGTAGCCAACTTACTCTTATGTTTTGATTTGGAAAATTATTTACTGATGCTTTCTTTTCATTTGTCTAAGCTGAATTGTTTGGCACGTTGTCCTGTTTCCCTTAATTAGCTATAAGATATGAGCTGCAGATTCTTTTCCGAATGGAGATTCTAAGATGTAAGATTGGTTTGGGAAGTGAGGAATCTGTGACACAGAAGTTTGCAGAACAGATTTGCATGTTCCTTGAGGGCATTCAGTGCAAATTAGATGGTGGATTCTTTGGTGAATGGAGCCTTGATAAGTATGTTGACAAAACTATAAAAGCCAGGTATATAATGCTATTCTCAGAACTTACATATTGCAGTTTCGGTCATATGTGTATTCACGCTAATGCATCGACTTTATGCCCCTTCTCAGGTATCATCACATTCTTGGAGAAGCTGTCAATATAATATATACAGAGATGGATCTACTCATGTTCACTGATGAGGATCTTGAAGATAGTTTTGTGAACAATGAAGAGAGTAGTCAATCAGGGAAAGAAAATTACCATAGCAATCTCAAAAGTCATCATCATATTCAAAGAAATAAAGATGTTCCTGGTACGAGTAAGCAGGGAAACAGTGAGGAGTGCATAGAAGCTAAGAAAGAGGTTGAAGCACAAGAAATGAGGGACAGGGCAAGAAGATTCTCGAGTTTCACAAGTTGGATGCCTGATCTTTGTAGAGTCTGGGCACCAAAACAAACGAAGAACTCTAAAGGCAAGGCGGGAAAGCAACAGAGAATAGCCAAAAGAAAGAAAGACCAAAGATCAGTGGAATATGATAGAGTATGTGAGACACCAACAACAGAGACCAAACGAACACGAACTGGTAATAGAGATGGCTACGATTGTGAGACCCAGGCTCGTAGCTCAGTACCAAAGGCTTTGTTTCAGGATGATTCTTCTTAGCAACTTTCTCTCCCCGTTGAAAGACTCGGAACTGGAGGTAAAGACTCATTGACGTCCCACTTATAAGGAAATAAAGCTGAAAACGAGAAAATGAAATATATCATTAAGAATGGAAATGGAATAAGTAGAGTTGGAGTATAACAGGGATGTTTCTTTGTTAGAATTAGTAATTCAAACCATATTTGTAGATGGATTCTCATTGTATTTTATTACAAAATCATATATTAATTACAAGATTGAGTGCTTCAATTTGTATTCCCTATTTAAACAAAGGGCATTAGTTGTGTTTTAAAAAATTTAGGCAAAATCTACTTATCAGGACTCAGTATTTTCAGCAAAACTTGACTTTGGACAGGATTTACTTATTCATGTGCATCTTTGACAAAGAAGCTGTATGAAAGTCAATTCTGGTTCATCCGCTGGTAGGAAAATAAACTTTTTTTTTATTTTCTTCCAAAGAGCAGAGTTTTGGTTCATCAATACTTATTTGATCACGAAGACTAGTCATCGCAAATATTAATAAATGTGACAAGAGGTGCTATATCCAAGCGCGTATGACGACGAGGCCTTGCTGATATAATCTACAAACAACAGGGCATCTCACTGCAACACACCAATAACAGCATTACTGACGACGATGCCTTGCTGATATAACCCATACTCTTTGACAATGGACCAGTTGAAACAGCATTTGAGACTCTTTGACATTATATTTAGGGTATCTATATATATAAAGTTAGCTTTTTCTCTCTTCTCCTTAAGCCACATCATCATCCACCTTATTTTATTATTTAATTTTTAAAATTAATTATACCATTTTATCATTTAATTTTAATATTTAAACTTATGTAAATAAGTTTTTCAAAAATGAATATGAAAGGCCTTTTTTATATTATACATTATAAAACTAAAAAAGATAATTGATTAGAAGTTAAAAAACTTACTAATTATCGATTATACTAACAAATATATAAATAATAGATATAGTTTTTAGTGAATGTTTAAAATATATATATGATTATATTTACACAATGTAAACCTAAATATAATGGGATTTAACGGGAATAGAGCAAAAAGTAAGAAATTTTGAGAATATAAATCTATCTAATTTATGTCTCAAAAAAGTTTCTAACATAAATGAGATAGGTCGGACCGAAACATGAATTCTCATTTTTTATAAACATATAAAAAGGTAAAAATAAAAATAATATTTCTTTAAAAGTTTCCAATATGAATTTAACTATTTTTTTCCAATACAACACATATGTTAAACTAATAAACAAAATAAAAAATTAACTATATTTAATAAAATTGAAAATTAAAATAAAAAAATATTATAAAATGAAATAAACTAAATATAAAGTAAATTATACTAATATGTTAAATTTAAAAATTGTTCCATATGAAAAAACAAAAAAAAAAATTTATAAAACATAAAATCAGAAAAAAATATATATAATAGTATATAAATGATTATTACGAGATATAAAGTACGACAAATCCAAAAAAGGAAAACGTAAAACAAAAAATAATAAATTATGACAATATATAAAGAGATAATGTAAACAATTAAAAATATAACAATCCGCCCGAAACCCACAAATCATGTTCAAATTTCATGCTAACATATAAAAGGGCCCAAAATATTAACATATAGATCTATATTTGGTAAAAACCTTAATAGCACACGTTTCTCAATGATTCTCAACCGCACTTTTATTTACGCCCACACTTCGACTTATACTATACACACTTAATTTCTCAACAACTAATGAAGCTAAAACTCAATAGTTTTTCTATACAAACACAACTTAACTTTTAAAAAAGTAAAATATGGTATAGTGAAAAAAATAGTAGAAAATAAAATACGAACTAATTACTCATAAACAACATAATAAACTCCCGCGCGTAGCGCGGACAACCGACTAGTCTTTATATATGGTCTGAAAACTTAATGCAATTCTATAGTCTTGTAAACTCATAAGAATGATCTCTCAAACTGTTTGTATTTGTTCCATTTTTGTCACCTGAGTATGTATGTATGGCCTTGGTTTCAGAATAATAAGTGTTTCATGTGCTCCTAATGTTGAACCAAGATTTCTGCTCAAACTGCTTGTCAGCTTGTGAACCACTATATATTCATAGATCAATAATCTTCGACAGGCCATACTTACTCCTTTCTATTCCTGGAGTAACAACTTGAAGTGATTTTGGTCAGTTCGCATTTCCCAAACACCATTGGCGCCTCCTCATGTAGGACTGTAGGAGGAAATCTTGCGGTTTAGCAATTCCTTCAGAGACCACGAACACATCCTTTGAAGGCTTGAACGGTGAAGCAGAAGAAGGTAAGAGAAGTCTACCCATATATGATTCCTCATGTGCAATAACACTCTCTAGCCTCTGCCCCTGATTCTCCTAACACCATTTAAGCACTGTTTCATGATTCTTGAATCCCCTTTTGTCTTGAAGACAATGGAGCGCATTCCACTATGTTCATATCTAAAGACAGTTGACTAGTGAGAGGTCTTAAACAATGGAGGACCCAGAATTTCATCACATAATAGAAGGTATTGTTTTACTTTGAGAAAAATGGCAACTGGTTTTGAAGTCCACGATGTTATTGTGATATTCACTTAGAGGGAGTTATTGGGAGGAATCTGCTTAGCAAAAAAAAAAAATATATAGTTCTTTGCTTGCTTGCTTTATTTTGATCATCGGTTGAAAATAATTCGTACTTTTCTCTGAGTTTCCACTAACTAAGGAGCTAACAATGTCTGCCAAAACACATAATTGTGGAAAAGCGAAAACTGAAGAAGTTTTTAATGACTAAATATGTAAGGAATCATTAAACCAATAACACTAGAATTTGATAGAATTGGAAAATCAATAAATACTCAACTTTTTGAATAACAAAGGATTTTAAATAGAATTACAAAATACATACACCAATAACAAGAGATTTTATTAGGAATCTAAGAATCCATAAACCAATAACAATGGAATCTTGAACTCTAAAAATCTTTAAAAATCATTCTACCAATAACTCCCCCTTATTCTATTTGATGTTTTAAGAATCTGCTTAGCAAAAAAAAAAATAGTTCTTCGCTTGCTTGCTTTATTTTGATCATCAGTTGAAAATAATTCGTACTTTTCTCTGAGTTTCCACTAACTAAGGAGCTAACAATGTCTGCCAAAACACATAATTGTGGAAAAGCGAAAACTGAAGAAGATACAGCAAACAACAAGTTTTAGAGTACAAGAGACATGCAACGAAAATTAACCAAAAACAACGGTTCTACATATAAAAGACACTGACCCAGTGAGATCTTAAAAGAAGCTTTAGACCTTGCGCACTTGAATGTTATGTGTCGATTGAGATCGCCAGATTGGCTGTGCTCCGCTCTGTACGATTGCTATTTCCTCTCCCTTCTTCACCATTCCTTGTTTCTGTTTCATCCAAAGTAACCAGTTCAACTCTTTAGTCCCAATAAAACACTAAACGAAAGCTACATCTAGTTGGGGGCAATGAATTTACCAGTAGTGTAGTCAAAGCATTAGCAAAAGTTTCTTCTGCATCATCTGTGAACTCCATATATATAGGGCATACACCTTGATACAAGGCTAATCTTTGCTGAATTTTTTTCCTGCAGAGCAAAACCTCTACTGTGAGTTCCTAAACAAAACACTGGTCGCAGTCATCGTTCTAAAAGATTTAACATGGAATACTTACTCATTTGTGAAGGCATAGATTGTGCCAGAAGGACGATAGTGACTTAGCAATATAGCCATGAAACCAGTTCTGGTGAAGACAACAGTTGAAGTGCCAAGTGTGTTTGACATCATGGTTGCATGGTATGCAAACATCTCACTCATATGGTTCTACAGAGATTAAAAAGATGTCCTTGTTAGTAGCAAATTAGATAAAATACAGAAAAACCCTACATAAATACTCAATGGTGCAGAGTTTCAAGAGTAGAAAATCAGGCACGGCTTACCTTGAAGGCTTGACCAAGATTAGGTGGCATTTCACCGCTAGTTATGGTTGCCTCCGTTCGCAATGCAACCGTGTGCATCACTCCAGCAGCTTTCAATGGGAATCTGATACCAAATAAAGTTCAGATTCGTGCATACAAACTTTCAATGCTTTCCAGAGTCACACCATTATAAGCTAAATCAATAGACTGTAAATGAATCTGCCACTTACTTTCCATGAGCAGTTTCTCCTGAAAGCATTACTGCATCAGCACCTTCTCTAACAGCGATAGCAATGTCTGAGACCTCTGCCCTGGTTGGAGTTGGATGAACTATCATACTCTCAAGCATGTTAGTCGCAACAATAACAGCCTTTCCCATGCTACGGCAAAGGTTAATGATCTCCTCCTGTATTTTCAAAATAAAATCAGAGTTTTAACAGCAAGAAAATTTTACATGTTCCAACTCTACAGAAATTGCAAAACTTGTTCTTTGGTTTATCTTCTAAATGAGAGGGGACTTCTTCAATTGAGAGGCAAGTGCTAACCTGAAGAATGGGGACTTCTTCAATTGGAAGCTCTGCACCAAGATCACCTCTTGCAACCATTGCCTGGAAAACATAAACAAATCTAATTAGACAATCACACGCACAAGGGCCAGTACCAGAATATATATTGCAGTAACACCAAACTTGTATTCACTACAGCCTCTAATTTCTGTTTTTTTTTTACAAAACAGTGTCCAATCAGTTGCTCTCACAGAACGGTAAGGCATATAAATGTAAGGAAAGAACAAATTAAAGAAGTTTGACAGAAAATATCACCCCATCTGACGCTGTGATAATGGAGTGCAAGTTAGGTATGGAGTCTGCACTTTCAATTTTCACTATCACATGAATATCGGCACCACAATCTGCATATTATTGTAACAAACAATCCCAAGATTAGAACAAAAATGAAAAATCATCATAAGAAAATCATTCACTTAGGACAGGATTGGTTCCACATATTTACTTTGAAGGTATTTCTTCAATTCGTGTACCACTTGAGCATCTTTGACAAAGGAAACCGCATAAAAGTCAACTTTGTTCTCGACTCCAAATTTAATATCCTCCCAATCCTTCTCTGTGAGAAGAAAACAATTATACAAAAATAAGCATCAGAATAAGATCTTTCTGATTTAATATGCAACAATTCGATCAAAGCAACAAGAAAATGTGAAAAAGAGAGTGAACACAGAATTTCGAACCAGTGATTGAAGGTAATGTTGCACTCTTTCCTCGGACATTCAAGTGTCTCCTTGACTTAAGTTCTCCACCATCAACAACTTCACATTTGACAGAGTCTTTGGTCTTAGACTTCACCATAAACGACATCATACCACCTGGAACATAGTAATAGAGCCATCAATATATAGGAAAAGACTAAAGCAAGTGCATTTTTCATCAATTGGGCATGTCAAAAGATATCAAAAACCCTTTTACACCAAATACTAAGATCTACATACCATCAACAAGAAGCATGTCACCCGCTTCCACATCATTGACGAAATCATCATAGTTAACACTGACACAACTTGGTGTGCTGACTCCTCTCTCAATAGTAAAAGTAAACTCCTGACCTGGGTCTAACATAATTGGTTGGGGTAAATCTCCACTCCTAACTTCTGGACCCTATGAACAATGAAACAAAATCGTCAAACAAGATACAGAGACATAAAAACATGTCCACCAAATAGATAAATGACTGAGAAGATAAACTTTGAATAAATGGGAAACAAAAACAAACCTTGGTGTCAAGCATGATAGCAATGGTGTTGTCTTTAGTCTGTGCATTGTATTCTTTCACCAAATCAATAACCTTCTTGTGTGAAGCATGATCTCCATGAGACATGTTCATCCTAGCAACATTCATCCCAGCTTCAGCCAATTTCCATATCATTTCTCGTGTGTTGGTAGAAGGTCCAACGGTGCAAACGATCTTTGTCTTCCTCCTTACTGTCGGCTTCGACCACATCCCTACCGATGTGTCACCAAACTGCTGCATTTCCAACAACCTCTCGAGTTGCTCCTCTCTCTAATCCACATTGAAACCAAAATAAAAAGGAGAAACATATATAATCAGATCACAAAGTAATCAATGCACATATGAAGAAATCTGACTACTAAAAAGACTAAAACTTTCAATCTTACAGATTGAAACAGATACATAGAGCATCAAAACATAATCACTAAACACTGAACCATAGACTTAAAGCTGTCTCATTCAACATCAAAATGGATAGAATTTGGTGAAAAGATCAAATTGAAACGCTATCTCAACTACTACAAAACTCAAAACACACAGGCACATTCAAATACCATTCACAATAGAAAAGCAAAAGCTCACACATACGTTAGGCACATCCTCAGGAGAAACTGGAATCACTTCAGTCTCAACACGAGCGGATCTCACAGTGGTATCAACCACTCTTCTGCTTCTCACAGAGACTCTTCCACTCCTCTTCGCTTCATTTCCCAGAACCTTCACTGCGAAACTCGCCGGCTTCAAAAGCTTCTCGGATCTTGTTGCCACAGATCCACTGTTGGGACTCAACATCGAGCCTTGAATCGACCTGGTAGCAACCACTTGAGCCATTTCTGGTTTCCGAAGAGATGGATCAACGAATTCGAGAAATTAAGGAGTTGGAAAGGAATGAGAAGAGAGAGAGAGAGAGAGGTGTCGTAAGCTCAGAGAAGAGTGAAGGATTTGGTTCTTTCCGGCGGAACTTACGAAGACGAAGAAAGAAGTGTGCTTAGTTCGTATCGAAACGTGACAAATCATTAAGTAGTTGGAAAATTTAATTAGAAGTTATAAGAATTATAAAAAAATATACACAACTCGAAAACGACGGCGTATAAATTTTATTTGTATAGACCAATCTATAAGCCCATTAAGACTATGTGGGCCAAATCTCGCTGTTTCGTCTTGTTTTGACTTTTGACTTTCTGAGGATTGCGAATTGGCGGGAAAATGTCTGGAGCTATTCGCGCTCACAAAAGAGCCCTAAATCACTTGAGATTAGTGATAGAGAAGCTGAGTTTTTTTTTTTTTTTCCGTCTGTTCAATGTTAATGTTTTGATTCGATACAGTCTTTGGTTAATTTCATAAAGCGTTTGATTTCTCGTTTGTAATACTGAGGAAGAAGATGGATGTGGAGGAGAGAATCTCAACGAAAAAAAAGATGGATTTGGAGGGTTTATCAGTAATCTGCAGCGATCTGGGAGTTCCCGAGGAAGATGACGATAGAAGAAGAATTGGGTACTCGAAAAGTGAGTACTGCCTCGATAATTTGAAAGATTTACTGAGATTTCTGAGGCGCGACGATCCTGAGAGCAGAGAAGTTTTCAAACAAGTCTGTGCGTGGAATACAGTCGCTAAAGATTTGATTCCAATCATTGAGCATTACCAAGATGAGCATAGCTTGGTTTTAAATGCAGGTATTGAGATTTTTTTTGTTACCCTTAAAGAAAAGTTTGATGCTTGTAATTTTTCTGATGAGATTGTGATGTATTTTGTTCAGTTAAGGTATTGGTGTTTCTTACGATGCCTATAGAGCCTTCTTCTGATGATATTCCTCAGCAGTTAGAGTATTTATGGGGTTTGAAGTCTGCTATTACTTTTAGTAACATTGTTCCAGTGATTGTGTCTTTGCTTGAAGCTCCACTCGAGAACTTAGAATTGTAAGCTTATAACTCATTGTTGCGTTAAGTACTAGCTGAGTGGTGCAAAACGTTTTCTCTGAACTGTTTGTTATGCATTTCAGAGATGTATTCAATGAGGAAGATTGGAAATTGGTTCAGCTTGTGCTCACTTTATTTAGGAATTTACTGGCTATTCATGATATATCTCCTATTCAGAAAGCTGGAGAGTCAACTTGTTACTTTTTGTCGCTGAGGGATCAGTTTCTCGAACTTCTGTCTCGCGAAAATGTGATGGATATATTTCTTGTGATAACTCAGACTATTGAGGGTTTAAATAGTCTGTTGAGGCATGACAACTTACTTCTGCTTGAAATTTATCACTATATCCTTTTGGGTCAAGACATGGAGCTCGTTGCAAAGGCTCCTGAGAAGGTGAATTTATTTTTAACCTGGATCAATACTATTACTGATATTGAAACATGTTTTCTTGGTATTGATGATGACGTTGACAATCAAATTTTGTTTTGGCAGTTGGATCAAGGGAAGAAAGCTTCTGTAGACAGTTTGAAGACATTAATGAAAGAAGAGGAAGTCAAAAGAAAGCTTGCAAGACTCAATAATAAGAATCAGCGTCATTCAAAATTTGGTGGGACATTCACCCGGGTTACCATGGTATTGTTTCTCATGTTGATGTTTTAAAGTTGATGTCTTATAAAAAGTTTATAATTTGAATGAATTTGTTGATAGGATGGCACTAAAGCTGTACTAAAGGGAATACCTTCTACTACAGAGAGCACAATGCTAAAGCCTCAGCAAAGTCGTGGAGCCACCGAAAAAATTGTCTGGGAACGTGGACCAATGTCCGTGACAAATGACAATGTTTTGAAGTTGCTGCATGATTTCATTATTCAGTTTATGTCAGGGGGATATAATGGTATGTGAAACAATAGAACAGTGATTTGTGCTTGAACTTTGTTTCAAGTACCCTGATGCTAATTCCAGTGTACCATATCTCTTAGTTCTGATGCAGTCAGTATGTGAAGATATTGAAAAGGAGCATCCCTCTATTCAAAATAGTGACATAGTTACTTTCTTCCAAGTTGCACAGTCCGTCACCTCTTTTCAATTTCACAAATCTTCAGCATCCAATGTGAGTAATTTAGCTACTTTGGTTTTACCTCCCTTTCATTTGCTTAAGTTGCTAGGTATTTAATTTAACTTTCATTACTACAAAGCTCAATCTCCGTTGTTTCATGGTTGCCTTGGCTTTGTTTCTTTCACAGCCGGCAACAGGAACGGAAGAAACTTCTGAACTCTCTACCAATCAGAGTGCTGGAGTAAACTTTTCTAAAAACGACATTTGTGCTCCAATTGCAGCAACAATTAATGACAGAATGTTTTTACTTGTCATATCAAAATGGCGCTGTGCATTTGAGGGTCTGAAGGAAACTAAAGATTTTAGGTTTCTATCTGCAGCAGGTTCTCTTATGAAAACCATGGTATGCAGTATCCATGCTTTAATCTCTTGTTGCCTACTTATCCTCAGTTGTTTCTGCATTTTGTTTAACAGTTAATAGCCAATACTCATGCTCTGCATTGTTCACCTGGTTTTTCAATGCAGCTTTGCTTGTTAGATCTGGTAATCAGACTGCTACCTGAAGACTCTACAGAAGCTTTTACTGTCCGCATCTTGCTTTACAAGTTATTTTATGACCAAACTGATCAAGGAATGTGTCAGTTCATCCTGAATCTAGTGAGAAGTTTTGACACGCACAAGCAACCTAAAAGGTTGGCCTCTGCTTCTGTTTCCTCTATTTCCAGAATTGTTCATGTAGTATCTTGCAATAAGTGATTTGTCAATTCTTGTAGTGTGATACAACATATATAACATCATGACACACAAGACGCATATGTTCCTGTTTGACTTGTTAAATGTTTGAAATACTCATTTTAATGACGGGACACGTATGTTCTATATTGTGCTTGAAATTTACCTAGCTTGTAAATCTGGTGGTAACTTTTATTTTTTGCCAGTGAGCTTGGAGATCTGGTGGAAAGCATCCATGTAATAGTAGGTCTTATGGAAAACCTTCAAGGGCGTGGAACTTTAAGGGTATGTAACTTCTTGGATATGAAACTCTTATTAGATAGTATACTAAGCTTATCAACAAGTGTCAAGGGAATAAATGCAAAATTTTCAACCAAATGTTTGCTTCATGCCCAGGTTTCAAAAAAATCAAGGAAGGCAAGAAAGAAAAAACCCATGAGAAATAAAGAGGCCACAGTGCACGAATTATCTGAAAATCATCCAGATACTTCAAATGAAGCTAGTACCGCCAAAAGCATACCGATGGTTGATTCAACAGATTTAACGAAAGATGTACCAGTGAATGTGCCTCCCAATAATCCAGGGGAATCGAACCTCGGGACTGAAGCTGATGAAACTCAACAAACACGCAGCCCTAAACCAAATCATGTGGTTGATGATCTGTCTTGTGGCAGTGATGATTCTTCTGACGACGAAGAGCAAACTGCAACAGATGAAGTTGATTTTAAGGTTTCCTCATTTATTTCAGCTTTTGCCAGCAACAGCATCATTCAAAACCTATGCTGGTTGCTTAAGTTTTACAAAACCAACGCAAAACAGACGAATCACCACATAATAAGCATTTTGCGGAGGATTACAGAAGACTTGGAGCTCTCTCCCATGTTGTATCAGGTTAGTGTTTTAAATTTTATCCCAGATTGATACATTTAAAAAAAAAAAAACTTTGCATCGTCCTTACAACTTTATTGGGTTAATTTCACAGCTGTCACTGGTAATAACATTCCATAAGATCCTTGATGAGCAGAAAGCTTGTCCCTGCAAAGACTATGAAAATATAGTTACCTTCCTGACAGATCTGGTTAGAAATATGTTGAAGAAAATGAAGTCACAGCCTCTTCTCTTTGTGGAAATTCTCTTCTCAAAGACTCGCAAGGAATGCCATTACATAAATGCGGAATATATGTTGCATGAGCTTGGCCATCTAAGAAAAAAAATAGGAAATCAAGAAAAGGACACAGGAACTGAGGAAAATGGTATAGCAGAAAAAGGATGGGCTCGCCGAAGCTTAGCAGATGCTCTAGGTGATGATGAAGCTGATGTCGTGATTTCTTATGATCAAGGATTTCAAAAGTAAGAATGTGTTCCATCTTGTAGAAGAGAAACTACTTCTGATGTTAGTGTTTGTACCTTATGTTTCTTGATAGCTGGATAGACTGTTCATTTATATTTTCTAACGCCATGGAACTTTTTCATGTTGCAGTGAAGATGATCACATGGTGGAAGATCAATCTGCAGGACCATCTAAAAGAAAGCGAAGACTTGTTCTTGATGGTGATATGGAAATAAAAATTAGAGACCTATACAACAGGTATGTTTTGTTTGATGAGAGGAGTAGTTGCTGGAAAGAAATCACTGTGTATATAGTGCACTTTTACTCTTAGTTATAAGTATTGATTCGTAGTTTTGATTTTATGAGCATTGGACTCAGATTATTACATATGAGCCAAACATATGCTACACTTTGGTTTAATTAGCTTAATGGTTCGTTGCAGGTTCAAAGATGATATAAATTGCAGCCGGCTAATTGCCGAAAATTTGGATCCTGATGGTGGAATTTCTCCTGCACAAGTAACCAACAAGCTCAAACAGCTAGGTCTAGAAACAAGGAAAAGGCTTCGGCGTGGTGATAGCTCGAACAAAGCAACTGAAGACAAGAATGGAAATGATGATCCAGATCACCCAGAGGCAACATCATTTGCACAACCTTCGTGAGTGTCTATTAAAGTTTCAAACTCAACACATCTTTTCATAAAGTTCTGCAAAACATAACTTAACACATTTAGTTTTAGATTTTAACGCTCTTATCTACTGCTTTTGATACAGAAACACCAGAAAGAGAGTGAGTTCTTTTAGCAAAGAACAAGAAACAGTTATTAAGGAACTATACGAGAAGTGAGTGTCAAAAACTTCGCCTCCTCTGAATAAACTCTTTGTGTTCCACAGTTTTATTGACTCTGTTGTTTTTCTACTTTTGTATATGTGCAGGTTCAAGGACCAAAAGCGCTGTAGTTCTTTGATTGCCAATGAATTGGGCTCTGAAAATACATATACTACTGCCCAGGTTTCACGTAAATTAAAGCAACTTGGTCTCCATCTTCCTCGTGGTAAGAAGTCTGGCATGACGCTGAAAGATGACCATGGAGATTCTTCAGCAGATGAAACCGACAATGAAACATTATTAGCCTTCAAGAACAGGTAACTAAATGTTAGAACAAGATTTGCTAATGGCTCCCCTCAAAATCAAACTTGGTTTCTTTTTTCTTTTTTCTTTTTTCTTTTTTCTTTTTTTTGTCATCAATCAAACTTGGTTTCTTGAACGATGCAAACTGATGCTTAAGACTTGTCTTCTTCTGCAGAAAGAGAAGAACAAATCAGAAGAGTAAAAAGCCCACAAGATCAAGCAATGAGATTACTACAGGAGGTTCTAAAGACAACACAGAAAGGTAAAACCCTGCACTCATTCTGTCTCACACAGTTTATAGACAAGATTAACTCTCAATGAAAACAAACTTCTGAGATGGATCTCAAGAGTAACTCTCACAAAAGTCAATCTTTTTGTTTAGGAATGAACCTAATCCGCATGTGCCTACCACTGGCAAAGAAGAGAACAATGATCAAGAGGCCATCATCGGAGAAAGTAGAGAATCTGAATCAGATGTTCACATCAGCAACACTGCTCCTTCTACTTCATCTCCAGACGATCCAAATCTTTCATCAGACCATGAACTGGAGGATGATGAGTTAGCAGATTCCGATGATGAGTTAGCAGATTCCGATGATGAGTTAGCAGATTCAGGTGATGACTCTGCAGCTGGTAGTGCCTCTCTCACTCAAAGCCCGCTTAGTAGGAGAAAACTGAAGATGGTACTTGATGAGGATGACTGAAGTTTTTTCTACACAAGGTCAAATTTTGACTTAACAACGAGCAACGAGTACATTTTGGGGGGATTATATTTTGATTTGGTCTGTACTCAGTGTAAATAAAAACCTCTTTGGTGTATTTTCCTTTTTTAAGGACTGTTTGGTTGGTCGCAAATTTTTTTTTTTAGAAAAATGGAAAAAAGGTAAAGATTAGATTGACAAATTTACTAAAACCATATCCTTATCGGAATCTAAATACAATGGTATCCCTATAAAAACGAAACAAACTCTTTTAACTCAAACCTAATCTTCAAATAGATCGTCTTCTCTTCTCTTCTCAGTCACGCCACGATTTTCTAGGGTTTTCTTTCGCACAGTTTCGTCGAATCTATTAACCCCTCTCGATCGTTATCTCTCGAGCAAAGATGTCAGTCACGGCAGGAGTGAGTGATACCATAATCAGTATAAGGGAAAAGCTACGTGGTAAGATTGGACAGACAAAAGTGAAAAGATATTGGTCTGGAAAAGCTCCCGAATGGGCCGAGTATAAAGAAGAGGTAGAAGAAGATGTTACGATGCACAAAGTTGTTGTTTTGGATTGGAAGGATGATCCAAGGCTGCGACGTTTAGCTCAGGCAAGAACTGAAGATCGTGAACAAGTTATAGCTGATCATATGCGTATTAGACAGGCTGAGATTGTATCTACAGAACAAGAAGAGGATGAGACTAGAGACGACGAGGAAGAAAATGAAGAAATACGAAGAAGAAGAATCAAAGAAGCGAATCTTGAAAGAGAGCAAGAGGAGGATGTAGAAGATGAAGATGAAGATGAAGATGAATACGAGACTGATGATGATTCAGAAGACGAAGAAGAGATGCATGTGATTAACATGATCAAGCCTTTCTATGTACTAAAAGATGCGAGAGATACGGTAGCTGAGCGTAAGCGTCTTGAGGCTGAAGTAGAAGCTTTTGAGGAACTAGCAAAGAGAAAACTTGAGATAAGAAAGATAGAGACAAAGCAAATAGTAGCTGAGGAACTTAGGAAAGATGAGGAGATCCTGAAGAACATGTTAGTACTAGAAGATGTAGAAACTGATGACGAAAACAATGAAGCTGAAGAGTACGAAGTTTGGAGGACAAGAGAAATGGCTAGGATCAAGAGAGAAAGAGATGCAAGGGAAGCTATGTTGAGAGTTAGGGTTGTTGCGATGAGATAAACTACAAAATTGTAGAGGAACTTCATGAGATGTAGAGGAACTTCATGAGATTTTTACCAAAAAAAAAAAAAAACTTCATGAGATAAGATCTCACAAGGCAACACTCATAAAAGTCACACTTACCTTTTTTGTAATTAGGAGGAAACTGAAGATAACAAGAGTTAATTACGCTTAAAATAATTACATCTTACAAATCATTCTCACGAAGTAACTAAGGTTTTTAATGTATACATGCTCTATAAAAATTATTGGACCAAGGTAGTTTTTGCAAATCCGGCGTGACAAAAACATCGCTTAATATGTATTGCTTTTGTTCACCCAATTTTTCTTAATCTTTATTTCGATATATTATTTCTTTTAAAGTTTTGTATTTATTTTGTAGATATTAGTAAATTATTTTAAATTAAGGTTAATAAAAATTAATAAAATTGCACTTGCACGTACATATGCAACAACATCTATTTTGTAGAGCTTCGGTTGGCATCATCACTCATGAGTCGTGAACGAAAGATACATACGATATGCTTTGAAAAATGGTTCATGCATATGAGTCATCACTCATCATCATCACATGAGCAAATTTGGTTTTTTTACCTCTCCAAGTATATTACCTTTTTTACTCAACTTTAAAAAGCAAATTTGCTCCTTGACACACACACACACACACACACACACACACACAAAAAAAAAAAAACAAAACAAAAACAAAAAAAAAGGAAAAAAAAAGGAAAAAGAAGCAACTTTCCTTTGATAACGGATCATGAGTGGATATCCTAATTAAGAGTCACAATTAATCACGTTATGTTGTATAGTCGGCTGCGTCTATGAATTTCTTAGACCTTTTTTTACAAAAAAAAGTATGCATGAATTAGTAGAATTTCTTGAATAAATTTTTTAATTTTCATCTATATACTTACCACATTTAACTATCAAAGCATGTCATTATCTAGTTTTTATTTGCATTCTTGTTAAAACTAGGACTTCATACGCACACTCCGCACCTATAAAAGAAGCTCAAGGCTTGCTTCCCTACGACATCATCAATTTCCTAGAGCTTCTTTGTTTCGTTACTATAAAGTATATCTTGCAATAACATATTCTCGTAACTTTATATTCAGGTATTTTCAATATTTTAAATATTATCGTCAGTAATATTATTAGTATTTCAAATTTAAAAAAAAAAAAGATTTCAAAATTCAAATTTACATAACTATTGAAACAAACATGGACATTTGATCAAATTATAAAGTTGTACTTTTTGATGAGGTTTGAATATAAAGAAATATAGAACATGCTTGTTTTAAAAGAGATTCGGTTGGAGATTCGCTTATTTTAAGTAAATTAATGTTTCATTTACTCAATCATATGAAAAACATATAATGCAAAAAAAAAAACCTCTCATCACACTATTTTATCAAAAATAACTTAGCCATAGGTTATTTGTCAAAGTACGTACATGTTAATTATGTCATCTCACAACATGTTTTTTAAAACCAATATCACATTATCTTCATAAAAAACACAATTTCACTATAAAATTAAAAAATATTTTGGTCAACTTGCACAAAAAATACTCCTCCCCCAATATTTACCATAATATATATCATGTTTGTTTGATTCTAAAAAACACAAACAAAAAGCAATTAAGCACAAGAGAACGTACCCGCCTAAGAACATTAATTTGTTCAGTGTTTCCCCAGTTCATACCCCAGTTCATAGAGGTTCGATTCTTTTGACCGATTTTTGAAACCGGTTTGACTTTTTTTCATAACTAGTCTCTTAAAACTGAAGATAACAAGAATTACTTATCCATATTCTTGTTATTCTAACTACGCAAGGACTAAAATAATAACATCTAGAAGTAAATAACACAAATTATTCTCTACGAAGTGTTGTAATTAAGGTTTAATGTATACAACTCTATAAATATTAACAAATGTAATTTTTGCAAATCCAACATGACAAAACAACGCTTAATCTTTATTTTGTTATATTATTCTTAGAGATGTCAAAATAGATAATCTAACTCAACTCAACTCATCACCTAATGATTTTAGAATTGCCTAGCCAAAATATTTGGAGTATACTCCAAGGACGTTTGCTTTTAACCTTCTTGGGGCATCTCCTATTTAGTTTTCTTGTTACTTAAGCATGGCTGCTCTCTTTAATTGTTGTTTTGTTTGTGGATTATTGTAGGTGAGTTTGGGTGAAACTAAACCAAAGCTACTTATTGTTATGGAGAACATTTTCTTCAACAGAACACTGACGGAGCAGTACGATCTGAAAGGAAAGACCCAGGGCCGCCTAACGCTAAACCGGGCAGAAACATTGCTCGATCAGAACTTTGTTAACCAGATGCATAGTTCCCCTTTACGAGTCAGCCCAAACTCTAAACTCAGCTTCTTGGTAGCGATTGCAAACGACACAAGCCTTCTCAGTTTAAGTTTTCTTAAAGTCTTTAATCTTATTTCATACTTTATGAATTACTAATATACTTTCCATTAACGCAGGCTCAAAACACCATGGACTATTCTCTGCTTGTGGGCGTGGAAAAAAAGAACAATGAAGTCGTATGTGCCATAATAGACTACCTCGCACCTTACTCACTGATGAAGAAGGTGGAGTCTGAGACAAAAACTGCTAAGTAGCAATTGCAAATGACTCAGGCTTTCTCAGTGTAAGTTTTCTTTAAATCTTCTTAAGGCATCACGTGTTTAGTTTTATGTGTTATTGTTACTTAACTGTTTTGTTTATGGTCTATTATATTATGTTAGGTGACTTTCGATAAAACTCAAGCAAAATAGCTGATTGTTATGGAGAACATCTTGTTGATGTGTTCTGGTTTTGAGATTTGATGAGGATTCATATCGTTAAATGCATTTCTCATAAACTATTTGCTGATATGTTTTGGTTTTCTTTTTCTTAATTTTTGACATTTTTTTCCTATATTTTTGCTAATGTTTTGCTATTTTTTTTTTTACTTTCTCAAACTCTTAACTAGTTGGCAAGTTCTTTCCTTGAAGATGCAACGAATACGTTCATATAGTTCATAGTACCTTTTATAAAAAAGTTGTTTTTGTTTTCTGGTTACAATTATAAAAAAAGCTGTCTATATTAACTGCTTTTTATCTAGTGTTATTTTTGTTCTTTTTTGTTATATGGCGTGTGAATAAAAAGAAAAAAAGATTAAATTTACTGGACACAAATACAAATCTTTACTGCAATCCAAATCATTTATCTTACAAAAAAAGACTAAATATTCCATCTTTGACTGTAATGATTCAAAACTTCAGTCTCTCTTCTTTTTTTGTTCTTCACTATCAGTCTTTATTTTATATATCCAAATTGGTCCATATATATAGGCTCATAGAGTCATAGCATTGCATATGTCTATATATTTGACTGTAGATTCTTTACAATACAAATATACTGACTGTTTGCAACCTTATAATTTTGATATATATTAGATATTTAATCTGATATGGTTTATAATTAGGATAATATAAAAGAATAACCTTCAATAATTGAAAAATTAAGAATCTATACATACTTTTTTTTTATTAATTTTCTCTCTTGACTACTTAAATTGGACAAAATTGTTCCTACGATGGATAACAAATATTTTAGCACATAACAAAATAAATATCCATAAAATTTTAGAATAACTTTTATAAATCTATTATATGTTTCTTATGTATAAGTTAACGATAACACATGAAATATCATAATAAATTAACATGTTAATATATAAGTTAGTTGACATCAGTCATATAATAAATAATTTAACTCGATAATTATGAGTTTATCAATTAACTTATAATTTATAGCGGTAATATATGAGTAACTATAAATAATTTAAATATATAATTATGATTTTATCAAATAACTTATAATGTATAGCGGAAACATATGATTTAAATAGTTAATCAAATATATGACCACAAATGTTATAATTTCTTTATTATTTTTGGTGATGAAGTCATTCTCAACATTAGATGAACAATATGTACCACTACTATAGTTTTATAAAGTCATGTTAACTAAATTTATATCGACATAATATAATATATATCATGTTAATAAAATAGTTAACTATCTAAAATTATAACTGAATATTTTCACTTTTTATCTTGCTAATTAATTCGTTAGCGCACATAAAGGATATTTTGTCATTAATTAAGTTTGAAGAGAGAGAACTAATAACAAAATAAGTAGAGCTGATTTCTTAATTTTCAGTTAATTAAGTATATAATTTTAATTCACCTTTATAATTAATATCGTCATTTAAATGAAAAATATATATAATTCTCAAGTTTTTATTGTTTTATAAAATTATGTAAGGTTTAATTTATCTATTATGTTACTTCGTAAATAACTAGGATTTAACATGCGGTGAGATAATACTTTATTTATATATATATAAGAATTTAGTTTCTTTATAGTTTTAGTTTGAGATTATTTTTTTAGGTGAGTTTTTTATCTTACCATATTAAATCGGAATATTGTATGGTAAGAATTTTTTATTTATAACGATTTTTAACAATTAATCCTTTAATTTTATATATTTAATGAAAAGAAAAGGTTTAATTTATTAATGCAAATCTTAAAAATAGAATGTTATAACACCAAATTTATTTCAAAAATGTTAATATAGATACTAAAACTATACAAATATAATTCTAATTATTATACTACGTTTTTATTTCACAAATTTAACAAAGAATGAAATTTAGATAGAGAAATGTCATTTCATCTTCTTTTTCTTTTCTTTAATAATCTTCGAGTAAATCTCCCATATACTATTGTTTTATCCTCTTGTTTTATTCATAAGAAAAATTTCAGCTATGTGAATTTCACCTGCTTAGCTTTGGTCTGTTAGTCATATTCCACAAAAAAGAAATTCAAATCGATCGGTATACAATTTAAATCAAAATTTCTTATGTCTTTATTGCTTTCACTTAAAAACGTGTACATAAGAAATTACGTACTTCACAATATATTATCGTTTACTTATAATTTTTTCATGTATCAGTACTATATTGTAACGCTTCTCTTGATGTCGTGTGGATATAAATATTGGGTTTTAGAACTTGGAAACATGTGTATGAAATTTAATCAACGACCAAAACTTCTAGAATATGTATAGAAACCATAATTAGTAAACCTATGTACGGAGATATTTAAGTACTTATCATACCTCTTTGTGTTATATCAAAACACGACCAACAACAACAACAAAACATTCTCTTCGAGATTTGAGAGATTCGTATCATTAAATGCACATCTCAAACACTAATTAAAAGCCTCTTGTTTCGATCGAGTAACCTCAAAACGTAACCCATAACAAGACCATGCAAAAAATAAAAACAATTATGGCCCCTCCATAGATAAGACTTTGATGAGTCTCTTCTCCTCCACGTCACTTTCTGTTTTCGGCTTTTGTCCCCTAATCTTTCGACAACGTTCGTCTCGCACCCCGACACTTCCCGGGACCTCTGTCTCTCCCTCTCCTCTCCCATTTCTCTCTATTCTTTTAACTTTTTTTTCTTATTCACGAATATGTGACTTTTATATTTTCTCAAGTTTTAAGTAATTGTATAACTCTCGTGGTCCTTCTTCATTTGTATTAGTATGCTCTGGACAATTTTCATCTTATATAAAACGTTATACAGCTATTTTTGTTTTCTTATATGGGTTTCCTATTCGTATTCGTTCCATAGTTGTGTTGTGTTTTGTCCACCAAAACTCTTAGTTCCATGAGATATGTGGATCAATAACTCAATTCTAAGACATGCAACGTTTATTTTTATTTATTTATGGATATTCATGGTTTTAGGAGATAACGTCATGTATAATCTAATTTTCTTTAGTGGTGCCTTGATCTTCTTAATTAAAATATAAATAAATATAGTGCCACCACCGCGAATATTAATTAAAATAACCTTATTTACGAAAAGAAAAAAAAAAAGAAAACTAGAATAATTCTTTTTTAAGATAAAAGGAAAAGAGGTGAAGGCAACAGCACATAATGAGAGGTTAGTATGGGCTCACAAACTCTTATGTTTCTTTTTTTCTTTTTTTCCAATTATTAATATCTATTGTTTCTTACCAAACTAACCACATAAATATTTATATATTACCGTTATAAAAATAAATAAAATTATCTGTGTATGTCCCTCTCTATATATATATACACTGAAACATATGTTCCCAATTCAAACATTGTTTTGTCCCAAACACAAATTTCTCTCAACACATTTCAACAACATATATATATCCCCAAAAGCAGCCATGGAAGAAGATAAACAAGAAGCTTCAATGCCACTAGTTCCCATAGATAGCTTCTCTTACAGTTGGTTAGTTAATTTCCCTTCTTTAGATGATCATCACCATCAAACCTACGAAGACTCTTCTTCTTCTTCTTCTTTCATCGAGATGGATCCAAGATTGCCTCCTTCAAGAAGATTCATCATCAAGACATCACATGAGAGCAGCTTCAAGTTCGACAGCTTCGTCTCTTTCTCCGACGAAGACCACTCCTCTTTAGTTCACGCGGACGAGCTTTTCCGCGACGGCTACGTCGTGCCTTATCGGTTAAAAGCCACGTCGTCCTCAGCGGCTACCGAGGAAGAATCTGAGCCGTTGGATACAACAACAACAACAACCACGGGGAAGATCGAGACACGTGGCGTTAAGAGCAAGTCTTCTTGTAGAAAGCTGAGGAGAGTGTCTAAATGGGTCTTGTTGAAGTATCTTGATTTCTTGACGCCATTGTGTAGAAGATTAAGGAGATGCAGATCCGCTGGACCAAACATCGGTATGGATTCGAGGATTCGTGTAACGACGTCGTCTAGGAGCAGAGTTTATTCTTCTGATGAGACGACGTCGTCGCCGAGAATAAGTGTAGCCGATGACTATAACTGGAGAAGGTCTTGTGACTCCGAGAGCTCTATATACGAAGCTGTTCTTCATTGCAAGAAATCATTCGGTACGTTGTTATAAACATATTTTTAATGTTATAAAGTTTTTATGATTAGTTTGTTAATCTTTTTTTGTTAATTTTTAACAGAGAGATGAGAAGAGAATACATGGAAGAGAGGAGCTGGTAGAGGAATATTAAGCTTAATTTGCAATAACACGTTAACACATGGAGTGGGAGAGGGAGAGAGCAACTTGTGATGTGTCTTTTTGTTGTTTCTCTTTCTTGAATTAAAGAGATTGATGTGAGTGATCCATGTGAATGTGTCATCTGATGTGGATCAAGAATGTTTTTGTTTTTTTACATGAGTGGGCACATTTATAGAAATATAAAATATATATATATGGGGCTGCAAGCAGAATCAAGAAAATATTTTCAGATTTTCTTGGCTATTTTTTTTTCTCCATATATTTGAGAATTGAGGAGTCATGTAAGTTAAATAGTTTCTTTACCCATGTTTACTTTTTTTTTTTTTTTTTTTCTTGGGTCCAATTGTGTGTGTTTTGAATATTCTTACTTTTTGTGCAATTTTTGTCTTTTCTTGTCTTAGAGGATCATACGGGGATGTCATCATGTATGATTGAACTCTTTTCTCATCATAATTGTAACTCAAATAATTAAATCTAATAAGAAAAAGATGGAAGAAAAATATGCGATTCGATCACAAAAAAATGAAAAAATAAAAATAAAAATCTACGTAATTGTAGTATATTTGTCTCTGTTTTGCCGCATTATCAGTATATGATTTTAAGAAAAACGTTAACCTAAAGTCAATGTAGGAGTTGACTATTAGAAGCGAAAAGTACTTGCTAATTATGATACAAACAATATGGATGAAAACGTATAACAATAAATTAGACACGAACTTATGTGTTTTGCCATTACGTACGTATCGTAGCTGATATTTACAATTTATTAATTATATTCAAACTTAGAACACATTCAAAAACAAGAGGTTGTTGTTGGGTCAATTTTGGTTTTTCCAAACCACCAATTTAGCGAATTATAGTTCTGGTTGACCACATCTATATATATAGAGACACACATACTTCTATAGCATTTTGGTACAAAAGATAATTATTATAAGTAGGTGGATTTCGTGATCTACATATTCTTTCGTTTTGTATGATTGTTTTTGTCACTTATATGAAGCTTTAGCATTTTCTGTAAGGATTAGTTAAACATACCGGACAATCTACATTCCATCACATGTATAAATATACCATATCTTATGTATGTTGGTACGTATATAATATCGAAAATATAAAGTGAGAAAAAATTATATATATATATATGTGTATATCAAATACAATGTCTAATCATTGTAACTATATAAACTACATATATAATGTGAGTCATCATTTACCATTGTGTTACGTCCAATAACAAAAGAATCGTGACGCTTGGATCTAAGGTTCAAACTTAATCAATCCAAACGTATTGCATAATTCAGGAGTCTATCACGGTCACGTCTCGTATAGTGCGGATTAAATCGAACTATCGTTGATCTATATGTATATTACATAATCTTTTATGTAAGTATAACCATTTTTGTATGGTACGTAATTTTGTCAACAAAAACACACTAAAGTGGTAAAGACGTGTTGGCAAACCATAAACGTGTATAAAGTAGAATTAATACAAGACCCATACACTAACTTAAACTCCGAGAACCTCAAGTGTGTATATATGGATCGCATTGGATTTGCATGTTATGCAACAAAATACATCTATCGCTGTAACGCATTAAACAATTAAAAGCTGCATAAAATGAAGTCTATAATGCGGAAGGGGACAAGCCTATGCTATTCATTTTAAGCGGAATATAAAAGAAAGTGCATCAAGTTCGAATCTATATATAGAGTTATAGACTAAGGACCGATGTTAAAGTAATTCACTTTAAGGAAAAACAATACTGCCCATATATTTGCAGCAACTTTGTAGCAGAAGTTTTTTGCAAAGTAATTAAAATATTTCATAGACCCTATAACATTAGAGACAAGATGGATTCCAAACACACAAAAATACTTTAAAAATATCTATTTTAATGCTTGAAATTATTGTAGCAAAGGACATATTCACCCAAAAAGACAGGCAAAAAGATTTGCCTAGGCATCATTTTTTTCTTGTGTAAATTTTATAGGTCCAAGAAGATTTTGGAGTACATTTCCACAGAGATTTTCCATTGGTTACATTGCATCTAGACCCAAAGGACCAAATCTTACAATCAAAATATATGTTGTATATATAGTCAAACTATCAAAGCATTTAGTTAAGTTTTTTAATGACTTGTAAAGGGGGGAAAATAGTTTAGAAAAAGCAGAACTATGGATTCCAGACTTTCAAAAGAAGTAGTTTATCAAAATTCATTGTAATTGCTACCAATCAAAGTCATCATCATCTTGAATTTGAGACATTCGGACGATATGAATTAATTCATAAAATTTAAATAGTTACTACTATCATTTTCTTCCTAAATAGTTTTTATCTATAGTCAACTACTACATTGAATATGATTAAATTATTTTATTGGTATTAATTTTTTCCATAGTTTGTTTTAAGTCATTTGAAAATTGCTTAGTTTATAACTAGAATTCTATAGAGGAAACACAAGTCAGCTAGAACCACTACAATCTGTTGGAAAAAAAGCTAAATGTGGCATTCTAGAGTTATATATGTGAACAAGAGAAGGCAACAAAAATATCTTTCTCGTCAATTTAAACCACACACCATAGTGGAGACAAATTCAAACTCAAGATGTTCTAATTAAACATCACCTAGGATCTATTATCCATCTATACCGAATTATAACCGACAAAAATTGCAAATAGAGAAATTAGGCAACAAAAACCGAAGCTTCATGAGTATTATTAGCCACTTGAATAGGGACACACAATAGCATTATGAGAGAAAAAAAATTATAATTTGGGCAAAGGAAGAAGAGGAAGAAACTCAAAAATCTCACGTGCTGGTGAGACAAAACAAGGAGACATATAGACAAGATATGTTCCGAGAAGATCCAAAGCATTCCTCGTGACACTGTTCCTATCTCCTACCTTCATTTCTTTTTCATCTTCTTTCTTATTTCATCTTCTTCTTCTTGGGGGACCAAAAACACGAACACATACAGTATATAATATGGTCATTTTTTTCTTTCTTTCTTTTGTCATAATCTATCGAGAGAGCGATATATACTAGATTCATGTATCTGCTATATATGTTTTCGGTATCTGTCGTCAGTTTCAACGTTTGATTTGTTCATATAGCTAGATCAAGATGTATGTGTATTTCCTTTACGTGTGTATTGGTTTTTTTTTTTTACGGATTCAAGAAATACGATTATCTTCCAACTGTTCATATACACTATAAGCAAATATATATATCAAGGAAGAAACTTTTTACTGATTATTTTCTGAACATTAAATCCGATAATAATGACCATGAAATTTATTATACGATACCTATTTCATAAACTATGAAATTGTGATCATAAAGATATATAACTCGTTTATGAAAGAAGAAAGAGTTCCGATATCTAGAGAATAAGCAACTTAGCATACAATATTTGGACATGGGTCGAGAGACATATACCAAACCTTTGACTGGTCATAAGATGGCCAAAGATAAAGGTTAGATTGGTCGCGACCATATTACTGATGAGGACTCGCTAATTGTTTCTCTTCTCCCAAGAAGTTTCGGGAAAACCCTATTTCCTCATATCAAAGACCGTTGTTTTTTTTTGTTTGCTTATCTTTTTGTCGCAACTGGTGCTCGAACTCAAGAGTTACTCGAACTCAAGAAACAAAACCTTTTGATTATTAATATACATAATAGAGAATTGAACAAGAACCAGAACCAGATCCAAAGCAGACGTTAATGGTCATGGAATGGTACGTATAATTAGACGGAACATCACAGCTAATCAAGTCCCATGATCACCAATTAATACTGTCTCAAACCAATTTTTTTTTGTTTTTTTTTTAATCTTGTAAAATTAAACCAGACAAAAAGTAACATCTATAACACTAGCCACACGTCGTCCATATCATTAAGTAAATGACTTTTCATAGTACAGTATATATATAGTAAACAAAAAACTAGTCACATATAAGATGTCCTTAATTCGGATCTAATAGATCAAAACTGATGATAATAGAAATATATAGCCAACAAATAAAATTGCTATAGTCGTCATGAATACATGTGATAAAAATTTGGCCGACGTTGAAATCTAGGCGGCAATCACATAGATCTTTTAACAATCTTTGGACAGAACAACAACAAAAAAGAAAAAAAAAATCAATTTGAGAAGCAACCAAACTTATGTGTTGTTATAATTATATACGGATAAATCCCGACAAGGAAACACAAGAACTAGCTAGATCATTATTAATCACGTCATTGTACTTGAATTTTTTTTAATTAATAGCTGACCAAAAAAATAGTTTATTTTTTTTGTAAACTATGAAATGACCAAATAAAATATGCAAGGGTTTATGTTGCTTACTAGTCAAGTCATTTACTAAATAAATTTTGGCCGAAAAAGTAGTATATTTGTTTTGTAAAATATAGAATGACCAAAAAAAATGATGCAAGGGTTATATGTTGCTTACTAGTCAAGTCACGATTTACTAACTAAATTTTGGCCAAAAAAAATATTTGATTAGATTCATATAATAAGCCAACGAAACCATTATCTTCATTCATACCTTTTGTCGGGCGAGAATCAATTCGTTAACTTGTCATATTATTCGATTAAGCATATATTATACACACACACACATATTCTCACAAATTCAGCTTATACTGTTTTATAAATGTTCAATATAATATATAGATATATATATATATATTCTTTTTATAAATTTTAATATATGTTTAAATGCAAAAAAAAAATATATATATATAAAATAGACCAAGGGAATCGTTTCAAAGGAGTTGTGTGGATAAGATATTAATTAGTTTTTGGCATATATTCTCCCATGACAAAATTACATAATTTCTTGTAATCCGAGCATCATCATTTCTTCAACGGAACATAGATAAGGATGTGACACCCAATATTTTTTATATGAAAATTGATAAAATTAAAAATGTGAGAGCCAAGATAGACAATATCATTGTTTGCTTGTATTTTGTATAGTGATCGAGTGGTGTTGTAATTTTCGTTTCTTTTTATTTTTATTGTCAACGGTTGTCTTGTTTTTATATGTCCATTACTTGATTTAACATATATTTCTAGGCTAATGATTTTTACTAACTGAAATTTCATACAAATATACGCAAGCGCAAGTACTAGTGTTTATCTCTATATTTTGTATGTTTGTTTACACCACCACCAAAGGCTTTCTTATAACAAATCATTAACGTAATGGATGATAGGGTTTATTGGGCTTAATAATGAAACCATTTGTGGCCCATATAACTCGAAATTCAAATTATAATTAATTATTTTTTTCCGTCTTCCCCAAAAAAAAAGAAGAACACCAAAAACGCCGAGAGAGAGAGAGAGAGAGAGAACAGAGGAAGGCGAAGCGACGAACCTAAACGAAGGAGACAATCTACGCCAATACGAATACTCATTTCTCTCAACGTGACGTTAGAGAAAGTGATTCCCTCCACCTCCGACGCCCAACAAAAAAGCCCTCCATTAGAAAAAGTGATCCCCTCCATTTCGTCGGCGCGAACCTTAGCGGTGAACCCTTCTTTTCTTTCTTTTCCATTTGATTTTCCTGGTAAAGTTTCCATTTTTCTCGGGAAATTTTCCATTTTTCTTCGGTCGATTAAGTAATTTTTAGGTTATTGTTGGAATCTAGGTTTAATCCTCATTTTCGTTGTTCTGTTTGTGTTAGATTCTCGAATATTCCTTTGGTTATCTTGTAATCGTTAGAGATTCTTTGTTTTCATTTCTTTGGCGTAAACTATTTTGATTTGATTTCATGGGGAGATGATATTTGCCACGGTTACAAGAATAAAAAATTGAGTCTTTTGTACTGTTCAAGCGGGTTTAAAACTGTTTTCTTGCTTTTTGAGGAATATAGAATCATTCAAACTATGTGAGTTTTTGTCAATTTGAATTGTTGATTCTAAAGTTTCTTTATATGTCATGTGAGGACTGAAGGTGCATTTCTTTAAAGGTTACACTATTTGGGCATTTACTGTTATATATGATTGAACAAAAATGGCAACTGGGTTCCTTTAAGTGAAGGGTTGTTACTTGTTAGTTAACTTTTTTTCTGCTTTTTAGCCTTAAAACCTTATTCACAGTAATGCATTCTCATTTATCTTTTAGCATAAAGTTAGTGAAGTGTCAAGCTAATAGTTGAACTAGAGGCTGTTTTTGTCATTTTGCATTTCGATTTGTTAGGCTACTGTGTGATCTTGTTTCTATTACTTGGTGTTATATGAATTGTCGTTATTTCATGTTAGATTGTTCTGAGAATTCATCAGTAGGTGTTTTTCCCAGCTAGGATAATGATTGGAGTTTGGTTTTGTGTAATTGTTTTTGTAAAATATTGGTAACTATGAGTTTACTGATGAAACTAAGAGAAAATACTTTGTTTCTGATATTGTTTTTGCCAGACGAGAAGAAGTTTTTAAAGTTGAAAGACAATGGAGATTCCAGAGAAGATGGACCAGCCGAACCAAGGTTCAAGCTCATCTCTTACAAATAAGCGAAAAAGAGGTCGTCCTCGCAGAGATGATAGCCAGACTCAGCAACCAGGGATCCCACCTGTTAGTACTTATATTGATGAGAATCTGATAGGTCAAGTTGTTTCTGGTGTCGTTGAAGGTTCTTTCGAGGCAGGCTATTTTCTCAATGTAAAAGTTGCTGACACAGAAAAACAATTGAGAGGCGTTGTTTTCTTTCCAGAGAAAGTCACTCCAGTTAACACAGCAACTGATTTGTTTCCCCAAGCTAAGATGTATGAAAGAGAAGTTATCCCAATTCCCTTGGTAAACCAACAAGCTCCACTTCAGGGGAAGAAAGATGCTGGGAATCAAACTGATAACCTCCATCCTGAGCCTCAAACCGATGTCTTGATCGCTGCTAAAAACCTATCTGCTACTTGCACCAGATCACTGCCTGATAATGTTCCAATGAGTGATGGGGGTGCTGATTCTGTGGCTATTGGTAAGAGGAATGATCCTATTGATACACTGATGAAAGATGTTGATGGCTCTTCTGCAGAGAAGAAACTCACTGAACCTGAAGGCCAAACTCTCTCTCTGATGCCCCAGTTTGCTAGCGATGATGCACCCAAAGAGGATCATACTGTCCTGACATCTAAAGCTTGTGTAGCAAGTAAGGAAGCATTTACAGTCACTTCTACTTCACCTAAAGATTCAATAGCTAAAGGCTCTACTACTTTGGTTGATTTCTTTTCAGCACCTGAAATGTCGCGAAAGGAGGCCACGGGATCCAGCTCTACACTGAACCTTGAACTCTTTCAGAAAGAAACTAATCGATCGGGAACTGAAGACGAGAAGTCTCCTGCAGATGCTGAACCTCGCGGAGTGGAAGAAAAACCAGCTTCTACTGTTGATGATGTGCCAGAAGAGCTTCAGCTAGAGCTTGGCAACAAGAAAATGAGTGCTTCATCAATTGCTACTGAAACAAAGCCTGATCAGATTGCTTCTTCAAAGAGTGGGTTCTTGACGAATGTGTTTGATGGAAGAGAAGAAACGGCAAAAGAACCAGAAGAACCTAATGCAGCTTCAGAGAGTGGCATCCCAGAAGCAACAGCACAAGTAGGTGATGATGATTCTTGAAAAGCGGATGGAACAACATCAAAGAAGCTGTTGGTATTATTGAGAACAGTTTTCTTTTTTCACTCCTTTTGGTTAGAATAGTTAGTAGTAGAAAACTCTTAGCAGACTCAAGGCTCCCTTCTCTCATTTGTGGCATTATGGATTTTAATTTGGCTTTTGCCTTAAATATTCTTCCCCTTATGGTTAAAGCAACTTTGGTGGTTCTGTCACATCCCCATTTCAGGAAGAAAAGATGATATACTTATGCAGAATGTGAATGACATGAGCAGTGTTTTTTTTGAAATGTATCTATTTCTAATATCATGTGAATATTTTTGAATTGAGCAAGAGAAGTTTTTTTTTCTCCTTAAGTTGAGCATTTGATCAATGGGGTAATAGCAATAATAACAAAACCTGTACTTGGCAGCCTTGAAATTCTGAAACCTCATGATAAAAGTAAGATTCATCCTGATTTTCTAAAACCTTTTTTCAAGAACCTGATCATATGATACTCGGTTTCTTGAAATTGTTTTAGGCACTAGGAGCAGCAGAAATTGTATCAGACACTAAAGAAATGGTATCAACTATCAGGCACTAAAGATACCATCGCAAGTAGAAGAAACAAAAACCCGATCCGAAAATATTAAACCAACCGAACCAATGCGGAAATGTTCACGAGGGCAATTAGATCACGGTTTAGCTTTAACCAAACATATAAGTCTCCGATTAAACTTCACGTTTACGTAAAACTGAAATTCACGTTTACGTGAAACGGTTAGCACATTTTACAATCGTTGACGTGTACAAAACTGAAATTCAAATTCCGATTTTCGAAATAGGCGGCATTTGTGTTATGTTCAAATTTGGATTTTTCTATATAACGAAATAAAGAGTAGAGTTAAATCGCCCTTTGAAGAGGATCTTTTACAAATTCCCCTCATTTTAAAACCCTAAATGGCGTTCTCATTTTCAAAACATGTCTGTAGAAGTAGAGTCACGGCGATCTTATTAAAGCCACCGGCGATTAGGATTTAGAAACGACGTTCTCTCAATTATGAGTAGCGGTGACTCTACTTCTACACCGACGATATCCGGCGATCATGATCAAGTCTAAGGTGAGATCGGACTCTCAGATTTTGTTTCATTTCTTGATGGATCTGTTTCCAGTTTACATTTATCTCTGTTAGTTAATTCGATTCTTGTTACTTAATCACTCGCATCGTTACTTTATTCTTCCTGATTTTATGAGCGATCGATCGATTTTGTTACCTTTTTACAATAGTTTTTGCTAATTCGTGATTTATTCGATTTGGGTTTTGATCGCGTAACAGGATGATCAGGAGGACTCTGATTCGTGACTTTTAAGAAGAAGAAGAAGAAGAAGCGACGGGAGAGGCCGAGAAGATAGCCGTCGTGAGAGATCTGATGGCGGTGGTAGTTGCCGCTGTGAGGTATTGTCTTTTTTGCTCTGTAAACTCAAGCAATTTGATTTTGGAAATTACCGATCCGATCAACTACGATATCATCATAATTTACTTTTGTGAGCGATCGATCGATTATGTTACCTTTTACAATACTTTTTGCTCATTTGTGATTTACACGATTTGGGTTTTGATAGATCATCAACTATCGCGAAACTAGATGATCAAGAGGACTCTGATTCGTGACCTTTAAGAACGAATGAGAACGCCATACATCATTCATACATAAAGCATTCATGCATACATACATACATCATTCATACATACATGCATACATACACCCATGCATACATACATACATAATATACATTGCACACATACATACATTGGTTACTTGTAGCCATTCAGAGTTACTTCCCTGTTTCTTTGATTCTCTGCTTTCTTTCTTGCTTACTTCTTACATGCATTTATATGATTGATGTGCAAAAGTACCTGTTTCTTTGATTCTCTGCTTTATTTCTTGCTTACTTCTTACATGCATTTATATGATTGATGTGCAAAAGTACCTGTTTCTTTGATTCTCTGCTTTCTTTCTTGCTTACTTCTTACATGCATTTATATGATCGATGTGCAAAAGTACCTGTTTCTTTGATTCTCTGCTTTCTTTCTTGCTTACTTCTTACATGCATTTATATGATTGATGTGCAAAAGTAAGAAAATATGCTAGTGCTTATATTTGGTTATAATTTTTACTTCATCTTGGAGTAAAACAAAACGATCAACCAGCCACAAACTCCCACTTGTAAGTTATTATTTATTGATCTAATGGTTATTCCTAATGCACGAGAACATTTGTTAATTGTACTGACTTGGTGGCCCATCTTATATTTTAATTGTAGAACCGTTTTGGATTTTGCAAACATATTTTAGGGAAAACATCGGAGCATCGTAATTCGATAAAAGCATACTGGCTCTTGGCCGTGAAGTTATTATATTGTACGCTGTAAGTTTTGATTGAGTTCTCAAATAAGATAAAAACATAATGTTGCGTAAGTTTTAGCATCAAATTTGCTTATTTCAGGTCTATCGACATGTATCACTCACCCTGTCTTAACTTGGCTCCTTCGCTCAAGTATGTTTCTCCAATTTTTCTTTTTGTTCACAATTACTTTCTCTTTTCTTTTCTTCATATGCAGTAGATGATTATTGTGAACATAAGGAAAATGGTGGAGAGAATGAGAAATTACTTTAGTACTTTAACATGGTATGTTTAATCCTAACTAAATTTTTTTTCAGAATCTTTGTGTTTTTCTTTGAAAAGTTGATCGTTGACCTCTGGTACAACCGTTATAGGTGGTTGGTAGATTGGATGGAGAGAGAACCTCAAATTAATAGTAATGCTATTAAGGGCGTAGCTCGTTTGGCACGCGAGTTCTCTGGCCTCATAGCTATGGTACAGTTTGCTTTCTTCAACATAGAAATTACAAAAGATAGTTTCTTCCATTTCAAAAGGCTACAACTTTATGTCTCTGCTAGTTAGCCATTTTTTCCCACTTGTTATCATTGAGACTCATTGAACTGTTGAAGTTAGGCTTGTTGAAGGTGTATGTTGACCTCCTGCTAGTACATAATTTTTTTTGTGTAATCCTAAATATATATATTAAGATTTGTTGTGCCCCCATATATTAAGATTTGTTTCTGCCGTTTCTTGTCTTTTTTTTCAGAGTCATGTTGGTATTATTGGTGAAGCTATGATTGGAGAAGCTTATCAGGAAATGTGACACAAAGGTTTCGAAGTCTGAGGAACAAATGTTCTAATTTGTTCTAGATTTTAGTATATGTGGTAACTCTTACATTGTCTCTTGGTTGATCTCAGACCAACGAAAGTAAGGAAAGGATAACTCTGATAACTCAAAAGAAACTTCATGAAAGTATCATTCTAACTCAATTTACTGATGTTCTCATAGAAGATTCTGAATGTTCAAGTACTGATGTTCTTAGTTTCTGTCTTCAGGTCTAGTCGGTGGAATATGTTCTGATTTTTTTGATGAAGAGAAGTAAAACGTTGGAGACTATATGGATGCGGAGTTGCGTGGCCTTAAAAAGACTTATATGGATGAGGAGTTGATTTATTATAGAGTCAGACTAATCTAAGTTGATTTCTTTGATCATCTTGTATGCGCTTGTAATCATATAATATTGCATACCTCTCATACACAGCTATGCTTATTTCAGGCCTATCACAATGGTTGTACAAAAGGGTTGTGCGTGGTCTTCTTGTGTTTAAGTTGTCTCCTACTTCCAGGTATGTTTCTTCAACCCATTTTCTGCGTAGAAGATTATATGTCTATAACTCTATATGATCATAAGAGTCTCACAAAAAAAAAGTTTTTATATGGCAGATGATGTTAGTTATGTGAACTTTATTTTCTTTTCAGTTGAGTACATAATCAAAATCTTGTTAGAGCAGTAAAGGTTCTTTCCAAAATACAATTATACATTACAAAGTAGTTCGTTAAAGCTGCAAAAAGTATAACTATACTTGCAGATTTTTGTGGTTTTCATTTAAATTGTGAATTTTTTTTTGAAGGTCTAGTCATCTCCAATGTCTTTACTCTTCTCTCACAGTAAGGATAAAGTCTTTAAGAGAAAAAATTTCAGCTCCAGGTTTCAGTTTGATCTTTCTATGAATTGTGTCCGTTGTTTTTCATGCACGAAGTCATATATGTGAATATGTGATGATGAGCTTTTGATGTTTCCACTGTATTTCGTTAATTAGAGTTCATGGTTTGGGAATCAATATGACATCTAGCAAGCTGCAGCAGAGAAAAATGATTTGATTGTGTAAGAAAAGCATGAATCCATCAAGGTATTGTATATTTACTTCTCCTAATTCTAATCTAAACCAGTCGTACATGTATTTTGCGTCTCGAATTTAGTTAATAAATGTGTATTTTAACAGGGAAAAGCTTGGAAATAATAGAACACGAGAAGAGAATTTTCATCAAGTTCACTAAGCCTCTGCATACCGATTGTAAGTTGTCATAATTTCTTAAATTTTGTAATGTCGGGTACTGATTAACATCTATCATCTCATCTGTAAAACATGTGTAGTTACAGAGAGAAGCCAAGAAAGCAAGAAACGGATTTTGATCCCTAGAGTTACGTACCTTCTAGTTTGATCCATAGGTATGTCTTCACTATTTTTCTCCTGCGTAGTATACATGTTTTTCTCTCTTATAACTTGAAGTCACCATCTCTTTCTTTTATGACTGTAGCAGATTTTGTAGGTAATGGACTTCGTGAACCAAAAATAGTTCTATAGTGACTTAACAGGACCAATCACCTAACAACATTGTATTTCATTTGACAGCATGATATTCCAGACATTGGACACATGCTCATCTGTGCATACATACATGCATCCACTCATCTGTGCATACATACATGCATCCACTCATATGTGCATACATGCATTCATCCATATATGCATACATACATGTGTGCGTACATGCATCATGCATACATTGGTTCATTCATTCATGCATCCATGCATTCATTCATTCATGCATCCATGCATTCATTCATTCATGCATCCATGCATCCATGCATTCATTCATTCATGCATCCATGCATTCATTCATACATGCACTCATGCATTCATGCATTCATACATGTGTGCATACATACATAATTGATTCCTAGTTCACTGCTTGCTTCTTTATGTACAGCGTTAACTTGTCTTGCTTTCTTCTTTGTTTCTTTTGCTTCGTTTCTTTTTTCTTTTCAATTTCTTAACTTGGTTGCTTGCTTGTTTCTTTTGCTGCTTGTTTTAGATATTTAACTTATATACTTGCTTCCTTCTTTGTTTCTTTGTTTCTTTGATATTTGCTTGCTGCTTTCATTCTTTGTCTCCTTTTCTTATTTCATTGTTTGCTTTGCTTACAGATTAATTCGTTTATTCATTCATTCTTTTGGCGTCTTTCATTGCTTCTTTGCTTCTCATTGGTTTCTTTAAATAATATAGGAGAATTGTATTAAATACCATGTTTTCCAAAAGTACTATTACAAGTTTCATTTTTCCCAAAAATAACACTAAAATACATTTTTTCCAAAAATACCACAAAACTAAAACTAATTTTTTAATACACAAAACTTCTTTCCAAATACTAAACACTAAAACACAAACAACCCAAACATTAAAAAACTATACCCTTAATATAAATAGTCAACCCATAGATAAATAAAAAACCTAACCTTTCAAAACTCAAATTTTTATGTTATTTTGGAAAAACAAATTATGGTATCCAAGGGAATTTCTCTTTAATATATTTTACTAAGCATAATTATTATTTAAATGGGGAATTCTTTTAAATACCATGAAAATAGGTAGTTTTTCCAAAAGTATCATTATAAGTTTTTTTCCAAATATACCACTAACATACATTATTTTCCAAAAATACCACAAAAACTCAAACTAATTTTTTGACATTCAAAACTAATTTTTTCTACATCTTATACACGAAACCCTACCCCTAAAAAATATACCCTAAATATAAAAAAAAATATATATATTCTACACCTTCAAAAATCAAATTTTTATATTTTTGGTCTTTTTGAAAAAAAATAAAACTTTTGTGGTATTCATATTTTATAATATATTTTTCTAATTTGATATATTAAAATGTTATTTTTATTAAATTAATACTTAAAATTTTCAAAAATAATAATTATTAATATTGGATACGGATATCCCGATTTTTTATATCCGGAATAACGGATATTAAAACTACGGATCCGGGTATCCTAAAAAAGGCTTGATATCCGGCTCTACCTCATACATTTATCTTTTTACATTTCAAAAATTTTCCATTTCTGCATGTAACATTAAAAGTAATTAAAAACCTAAGATCAAATGTAAATACATGGTTGACCATTTCTAAATGTTAAAAATAGAGATAAAATTAGAAAAGGTAGAATTTCAGTATTTATTACTTCTAATTTTAGTAAATTTGTTAGCATGATCATATGCCACGATCAATTGATAGTATCGTTCTGTATTTGCAAGTGATTGAAAAAGACAAAAAAAAAAATTAATTTATCAATATATTTCAGCTGCGTTCTCCCATTTTTCATTTCGGGTGATACAACAAGAAATATAAACCGAGTTGTGTTTTATTTAATTTCAAGGTTTTAGCTGGCAATTTGCAATTTTAATCATGGCTTCTATGATCTTAAAAAATACAATTTTAGAATTTTGGTTATTTTTATTTGATGTATTTTTGTAAAACATTTATATTTTGAGACTTTTTATATGGGCTTCGTTTTTCTTCGGCCCGAATTCTTATTCCAGTTAAAAATTTGAAAAAACCGTATTTGGCTTCATCCCCAAAAAGTCAAAAGCAAAGATAAATATGATTGGATAAAAAGGGATATTTATTACATGTACCAAGTTATCGCTATGTTGGTGCTGCCCAAAACTTGATCACGTTTAGGTCAATGTGAGTTCTTTGTCCACTTAGTCCTTAAGTCTTTGTCCAGTTAAGTCCTTTAAGTCCTTAAGATTATTCCAAGCTCACAGAGAAGAAGCTAACGAGATTTTGCGACGGCTGATTCCATATTTCCATGCATGCAAGTCCCGGGGTATATATTCGTATTCTGATACAAATATAACATCAAAGTTGTTTCCGAATACATGTTGACAATTATTTTTGGCTAAATAATCTTCAGATGTATATGACTTGTTATTATATGTATATATATATACAGTATATGTTTTTTCACAGAATTATATTTGTCTTCTCTCCTTTGTTATGATATAGATCTTTAAAAGATTCGTATCTTAATAATTTTCAAAGTGGATCCCTATATTTGTCGCCTTTTGTAAAGCATAACCTAGAAATAAACTGCTTCAAACAGAACAAGACCAAACCGATGAGACACTGCGCTAGTAGGTCCAAAACCAGGTAATGTTGAGTTAAAGACAAAGACAGAGACAAAGACAGAGACAAAGACATATCCGAAAAAAAGAAATGAGATCTCAAAGTGTGAGTTCTTACTGGTTTGGCCCTTTGATGGTATTCAAAGGTTAATAATGTTTATGAACAAAAAAAAAAGAAGTGTATTTATTGTTCCTTCCTCCAAACGTGGTTTGGTAGTCGTCTCATTCTTTCTTTGTCCCATCACAAACTCAATAGTTTTTGGAATTATATACTTTTTTGCATCTTAAATTTTAGAAAATCACTTGTAAAATATAAACAAAACTTTGATCGTGTTCAGAAATTATTCACTGGCATGCCAAAAATGTACATGTCGGAGGAAAGAACCATGAGACCAAATAAGTTAATCAAAGGAGTTCAATTAATTTTGTTCGATACAAATATTTTATTGCAGATGCATGAATAGTGTTGGATCAACTTAGTGTTGGACATGATTTATTTACATCTTAAAACATACAATATTATCGAAAGTTTAACGCCGCGATTAATTTTTTTTTTTAAACGCTTGATTAGCCAAGATTACGACATCTATATTTTGGGATTGAAACTTTTCAAGTGTAGGTTTTACAAATTTTTGGGTAGAAAATATGAATATATAGATAAAATGTGACAAGAACAAAATGGGAACTAGTTAAATGCATGAATGATATATATATGTGATGTGTGAGTCTGTGACAGAGAAGTAGTGAAAGAGGTTTGGGTATTACAAAGCAAGAGGGGTCCATAAAACTAGCTTTCGTCTCCCACACTCTCTCGTTGTTTACTTGCGTCAGTCTTCCTTCATTTTTTTGTTGAAACACTATACTATATAAGACGACTCTCATTACCAAATTCGTTTTCATATGCTTTATCTTTTTTATTCACGGATGTATAGAAAAATAGTTTTGATAGATCACTGCTCTTCGTAGATCTTTTTATAAAAAAAATTACTGGTCATTTTGGACTTTAACAGAAGAAAACAATTTACGAAAATGCGAATAAAGGAGACGATGGCCTAACTTCTTAGTGGATACATCAACAACAACAACTCGTAGTGGACTATATATATAGACGTCAATATGAAGACCTATATGTTTCGTGCAATCCATATCAATTTTTTACTTTTCGTATTTTGATAACTAGGGTATATATAATCCCCAAATGAATCCAAATGTTTGAATTATTCAATTAATCGTAGGAGAATGAGGTTCCTTAACGCCATAATAAATTTATCAACCATTAAAGACCACCATAAATTTGGTTTACACACCATTATGAATTGTTTATAATACTTCAACTAATCCCACTGAAAACATAATGCTAGTATTAAAACTATAATACATGAGCTCAAAGCGACTTCCATATAGGATATGACAAACAAAAACTTGTAACTGTAAGTTTAGGGAAATCGAATGGGTAAATTTATACCAAAAGATTGAAATGACATAGAAATCAATTTCAAGGCTTTGAATAGAGACATGCGGCTATATATAAAGAGTGGTATATATGGTTCTAAACTTCTAATAGTGATGAAAAAGAAGAAGCAACTTTACTCAGCGTCAATGAGTATAATGGTGTATTTGAGGAAATTTAAGAAAGCTTTTCTAAGATCACAACTCTGAATTTTGAAAGTAAGAGGGGGCTATAATGTCATATGCTATTTTTTTTTTTTGTGTTTATACAAAAATATTTGTGTTTAAGACCATGAACATCCAAAGACTATTATTGGTCGATCAAATTAATAGAATGCAGACAATTGTACACAAAAGACTTCGTACAAAAATAAAAAATAATGTGTGTAAGAAAGAGCAAAGAGTTGCTTTTACCGAAGGGGGAGACAACGACTTAGTGGCGAAATAGAAAAGGTTGGGTCGTATTTGCGTATCATCCAAAGTTAAAACTATTTTTTTTTAATTGTTTGTCACTGTCATACTCATATTTAGATCACAATTTTCCTAAACAAAAAATTGGTTTTATATCAAAAGCATGTAATGTTAGAAATGATGCTGATTTGGGAAATTATGCCACAAACGCTAGAAAGAGATGTTTTAATAAAAAGTGGGAATAAATAAGTTTTTGTAACATAGGATTCAAGAGTTATTATACTTTGTTCAAGAATATATATTCTTTGTCTTAGTAAAATCTAATATTTCTCAAAAGAAACCAATTAGACCATACCAGATTCAATATGAATTAGGAG